TTCCACATCACACACCGATCAGACAGACATCCCTCTAACGTCACTAACTCAATACTCGGATACCACATCATACACCGACCAGACAGACATCCCTCTAACCTCACCCAATACTCGGAAGAAACATCACACACTGATCAGACAGACATCCCTCTAACCTCACCCAATACTCGGATTCCACATCACACACCGATTAGACAGACATCCCTCTAACCTCACTCAATACTCGGATACCACATCACACACCGATCAGACAGACATCCCTCCAACGTCACTCAATACTCGGATACCACATCACACACCGATCAGACAGACATCCCTCTAATGTCACTCAATACTCGGATACCATATCACACACCGATCAGACAGACATCCCTCTAACGTCACAAACCCAATACTCGGATAACACATCACACACTGATCAAACAGACAATACCACATCACACACTGATCAGACAGACATCCCTCTAACCTCACCCAATACTCGGATTCCACATAACACACCGATCTGACAGACATCCCTCTAACCTCACCCAATACTCGGATTCCACATCACACACCGATCAGACAGACATCCCTCTAATGTCACTCAATACTCGGATACCATATCACACACCGATCAAACAGACATCCCTCTAACCTCACTCAATACTCGGATTCCACATCACACACCGATCAGACAGACATCCCTCTAACCTCACTCAATACTCGGATTCCACATCACACACTGATCAGACAGACATCCCTCTAACGTTACAAACCCAATACTGGAATACCACATCACATACCGATCAGACAGACATTCCTCTAACCTCCCTCAATACTCGGATATATGATAATATAGAAGACTAGAAATACGTGTGAGATGTATGATAATAGAGAAGTCTAGAAATACGTGTGGGGTGTATAATAATAGAGAAGTCTAGAAATACGTGTGAGATGTATGATAATAGAGAAGTGTATGATAATAGAGAAGACTAGAAATACGTGTGAGGTGTATGATAATAGAGAAGTCTAGAAATACGTGTGAGGTGTATGATAATAGAGAAGTCTAGAAATACGTGTGAGGTGTATGATAATAGAGAAGTCTAGAAATACGTGTGAGGTGTATGATAATAGAGAAGTCTAGAAATACGTGTGAGATGTATGATAATAGAGAAGACTAGAAATACGTGTGAGGTGTATGATAATAGAGAAGTCTAGAAATACGTGTGAGGTGTATGATAATAGAGAAGACTAGAAATACGTGTGAGATGTATGATAATAGAGAAGACTAGAAATACGTGTGAGATGTATGATAATAGAGATCTAGAAATACGTGTGAGGTGTATGATAATAGAGAAGTCTAGAAATACGTGTGAGGTGTATGATAATAGAGAAGACTAGAAATACGTGTGAGATGTATGATAATAGAGATCTAGAAATACGTGTGAGGTGTATGATAATAGAGAAGTCTAGAAATACGTGTGAGGTGTATGATAATAGAGAAGTCTAGAAATATGTGTGAGGTGTATGATAATAGAGAAGTCTAGAAATACGTGTGAGGTGTATGATAATAGAGAAGTCTAGAAATACGTGAGCAGTGTGAACTACAATGACCTAATTGTACATAATATTTATTATAGAGATTGAAGTTCCCTGTTGTAACTTCTGTCGGCTTTTTGATCCCGTTACCTTTTTACCATGCCTGTTATGCTCAGTAAATCTTTAATGTGTTAAGTAGGTTTGTTTTACTTGGGTATTAACCAAATTAGAGAGACGCTGCATACGTTAGGGTTTACCTCCTGCCTAATTGACAAAGTGTGGGCATGTGTCGTGCTTGGCTTTACGCCTCCGCGACAGCTACGATCATCTGCGCTTTGGAAGACGTCAAAGAGGGGAAAAAACACTGAACATCAAGTTTGTTGTGATACCATTTCGTCTAATGACAACAATAGAAACAGAAAATTACTCCGTTCTGCGTGTGGTGGGAACTCCTGTATGCGGCCGCCCATCCCTGCTCATCACTCTTGTTTCTACTATTTATTGGCAAACTGAAGTGCATCAGCATTTTGTTTTGTTTGAGTACATGTACAGAATTTTGTATATCACACCGTTTCAGTTCATGTTCTAGTACCTTGTATACATGTTATATAGGCGATTCTTCTTGATAAAACGAAATATGTAGCACATGAAAAGTCAAGTTGGCGTTTATTTGTGAAAGTAAAAAAAGTGTTGATTCATCTAATCAAAATGTATTAAGATTAAGATATAACATGAAAATTTATCCGTCTGATATATTTTCAAAATTGTCAATACCAGATATTTTTAACATCACAATGTATCAATGTATCAATAAGACATACGATATGTCTTATTGAAATTTATAAGATGGTTTCTTCAAAATTACCCTATGTAATTTACGAGACAGTTAAAAATGAAATTAAAAAACTGATAAAATATGTCCTCGTGTAATCGAAAAGAGAAACCCTGTGTAGGAAGCGTACTTAAAAATGCAGTGACGAAGTGGACTAAGGGAACTAACCTCAACAACACAGCAGGCCCGCTTTCGCGTGATACGGTTGAAACGGTTCAGATGGTCTCGAATTATTCCACTATACACGAACGCGAATGGACAGACACCACAATTAATTTTACTATATGTTTCATTGTTACATTAAAATTCATAACTAAGTCCCAAAGATTCATCTGCAAACTTCCATCTCACCTGGTCAGGTCGAAATACAACAAATAAGTGTAATGATGCCCTATAGGTAGAGTATTTAGTCGTAATGACCACGTGATTTGCGCTTGTAGCAGTTAACGTTATATACTTTTTGTTTGATCCTGCTCAGGATCAGCTAATAAATAATACATCACTTACTATCATCGTATTTAAGTTTGTTCGAATCATACATTTTAGCGCAGGTTAATGTATCGGGCCGCAGAATAAATGAAACATTTACTTTTAAATCCGGATTTACTGGTCCTAATTTGTACCAATGAAGCATTTTAGTTTTTGCTCTGAATCCAATCGGAACACCTCTGCCGTTCCGAATCTTATAAACGACAGCTGAAACCGGATTTTAGACACAGTTGCATATTTTCTTATTATTAGAGCTACTTTCTAGCTAACTAGGATTACCGAAACATGAAGACAACTTCGACTGGTCATCTACATCCTTTTAATTTGCGTATTATGTCAGATAGAAAGTGAACATCACCACAGATACATAGATTAAGTCAATTGTGAAATCATAATAATAAAAAATCAGAAATACGCACAATAAACGTAAAACGTAGACTTGCACAAATCCGTCAAATTGCAAATTATATTACTTTCCAGGTAATCCACATCAACCTACTATCATGTACATGTGACGTATTGCCAGTTCATAATAAAAATTGTGACTGTTACATTTGTTGATCTTTGCATAAAGTTTGACCAATTTCCATTAAAATATGAAGTTGCCAAGTGTTGAAATTAAATCAGTTCATTTTTTTCTATCTATAGCATGGGTGAACTTGGACTAGAACTAACTTGGCCCCTGAAACACAACAATCTCCTAAGTTTGCTCGTAATTGACTTTTGCATAAAGTTTGACCAAAATTTGTCAAAGGATGAATATGCCAGGTGCTTTCTGGACAGGACAGGATAGGACATGACGGTATGGGATGAATAAGTGCAATGCTATTTAACCCCACACCTGGTCTCCAATTACTTGAACTTAATCATTTTTGGTGTGCTTACTAAATATATAATAAATTCTTTTAAACTTTTTTGTTATATTTTCTCGACAACATAATGCAGTCAGGTAACAGCCCTCGCACTAAGTTAGTGTGAGGGCTGTTACCTTTTCATGTCTGAGGCTGACTCAGCTTACTTTGATCAGGATGTTGGTCATCAAACTTGGTAAACAGGTCATTGTAGAACAAACAAAACAATCATCTACAAGACAAGATGAATTGTATTGAAGAAAACAGGTAGGTTTTCCATGGTCTGATGCATCCAGGAGACTCTAACATGATGATTAATTATCAGGCCTTCAACAAGAGGCAACGACTGAATAGTTAAGCGTTAAATTTGACTTTCAGTATTAATACATGTATTCATTGGCATGAACATTCATTACAACCAGAAATCAGTGAATGATGAGGTCACCTGAGCACGTGTAATTTTCTCCTTAAAGGACGCAAACAACTAAATCACTATTATATTAGTATTCAACACAAATGATAACTTTTTAGATTCATAGAACTGTACTATTGAAGGTTACAAATGGCATCTCGGACTGTCATTTCCTGAAACTCATATCTGAAACTAACCAACCACTAAGTGAAAAAACACCAACATTTTACGTCTGTCTGAATCTGCACCACATATACCAGATACAGGCAGAAAGTGTGGATAAATATTATATAGTTAAGACAGCTCCGTATCCCTGCTTACAATAAATGTTTATGATAACACAACATGGAGATGTTATCTTTACCTTTTATGTCATGGGTTAATCTAAATTTGTCGAAAAAAGGTGAATATTTTTCTATGTTGAGAGAAATTACAGATAGCCCTTCTAGTTAGAATTCAAAAGTGGGATAGGGTTTAAATATATGACATACATGAAGATTAAATGAATAAATGAGACAATGCAGTTATATTGATATTTCCTTTTCAAAATTACATTACTTGGAAATGTGTTTAGTAAAAACAGAGACGTATATAACGTATGTGTTATATACGTCTCTGGTAAAAAGTGGTGATTTTTTTGTCTAGATTAATCCCTGTAATAGATTATTCAACTGATTTCAGTGTATATTTTACGATCTTTTCTTTACAATATAATTAAAAATAAGTGTATATTATGACAATGTGTTTGTTGATTCTTATACTTATGTAGATAATATGAAAATACGCAACCACGTCTAAAGTCTGGCTTTCAGCTGGACTCAGCTATCGATTTTAAGATTCCACTTTTTCAGGCATTGAGGCGAAATGTTCCGAATGCTCTTAATCTTGGTGCAAAGCACGCTTGTAACTTCCTTTCAGAGCGAGGTCGTGTTTTCATTGCTGCACGTTATTTCACCATCACCCAAAACACGACCTAAGAGCATCATACAAGCGTACAAACATGGTAAGTGTCCTTCTTTGTTCCGTATTTCTATAATTTCAATCAAAAATCATGTTTCATGTCCGGAAATATGACAGATTTTGTCCTTCACACCGCATACTCCGGTACAGTCGGCCTGCTGTTATCGCATTGACAGGTGGCCTGTTTTTTTAAATGCTGTTTACATTTAAAAAAAGAGGCGACTTGTCAAAATTTTGCTGTTTGCAAATAGTCCAATTACGTTTAATTTTAGTGAAGCATCTGCTTTCACCACCTATATGTATTGACAGACGAGGCTAGTACAGTAGTAACCTTAAGTAATGTCATCATGATGTTTTGTTTTATTGAATTTCTTAACTTCTAAAAAGTTCTTACTTCAAGAGGATTGAAAGATATTCATCTTGTAAATGTTCTCTGTTGAATTCTGTTGATCAGACTAAGTAATTTAGTTCAAGTGATGCATTTTCTCTTTTTTTTACAGCCTCAGAACGAACACATAGAACTCCATAGGAAACGTCATGGCTACAGATTGGACTACCATGAGAGAAAGTCGGTATTTACAATGTTGTAGATATATTTTTGGAAAATAGTAATATTTACTTCTTAATCCTTATGCTACTTTTTACTTATATAACATAATATTTACTGTCTGTTGATATTATATTACTACTATAACATAATAGACTACCGATCGGCAGATTTATTGAATTGTTGCTAAACTAATAAATTGATTTCATTGCTAAATGAATTCATATCTCCAAACAACAGTATGTTTTTAGGAAAAAGTAATTACTGTTTGGGTAACGTATGTATATTCTAAAATTAAAAGAACACCTTATGTCTTGGTAAGACAAATACAGTTTCTATGTTAGATTTTGTGAGTATATTACAAATTCACTTGTTTTATATACTATTTTTGTTTGATATTGCAAACAGGAGGAAGAAGGAAGGGCGTCGTGCCCATGAAATGGCAGAAAAGGCCAAGAAACTTAGGGGAATAAAGTGAGTTAAGAAATGTGCCAGTGAATGATCAGGGTATTGAAGGTCACAGTTTACTATAGTCAAAACTTGTTATATTGAAATTCAAGCACTAGAAAGGTTTTACCTATTACAGAAAACATTATACAAGCACTAGACTTTAACAAATCACACACAGATATAGACTCTATCTATGAAAAATACTTTCAGCACTTCATTGTCCAAACAGTAAATCTGAAAAAGTGCCCAATCTTAGTCCTTTAGTTAACAGCCTCAAAATGAGTTTCTTTCAGAATTGTCGGGATCAGATTTCATAAAAAAGTTTGTACTGTTTTACCGGTTTCGTTTTTATCATTCATGAAGATGCATGCAACCAAGCTAAATGTTTGTTCATATTTTGTGTAAACGCGCTACTTTTTTAACATAAGGTAAGTCACTTCTACAGAATAGTGACACTAATTAAGAAGCCAAAACCTTTAATTGGATAATTAAACTGTTCATTAATTGCCAGTGACCAAGTGTTGTGTTACGCATGAGTGAATTTCTACTCTGTGTATGCATTGACCAATTTCGTAGAAAGATGTGCAGGTGTTTTGACAAAAATCAATTTTGAGACAACAAAAGACTTTTCCTTGCTTTTACAATTGAAGGGACTGAAAAATCACCTTGACTCAGCCGAAGTTTCGACTCATTGAAATTTGACTTACCCAAACTAAAATTACAAAGATATAGAAGGGAAATAATTGGGAATTGAAAATAACTTTGACTCGAGTGATTTCGAGAAAACAAGTTTCAACAGTACTATGATCAGATTGTTGGAGATCACAGTTTTAATATCATGATCAGATCACGGTCAGGTGGTACACCGAATATAGGACAATCATTTAACATGTGATGAAATTTCACTGAATAGGTTTATACCAGGTGTGAGATTGTTGCCAGGTAAATATTATATATATATGTGTGTGTGTTGAATTAAATTACAATGAAATTAAAACAGGTTTTGACTTGGCTTCATATTGATTGTTAAAATGAAAATCCCTCAGCTATAATCTTCTCAGTCAGTAGTGATAGTTCTTACTTCATGTATTGCACTGTGATTAATCTACCTACAAAAGAACACAAATACCTTCCTGAATTGTCCCCAAATTGGGAAATTTAACATACAATATATAGGAAATGTCCTGTTCTTTGTATATTTTTTCGTGAAAATTTCCTGAAAATTTAAGATGTCGTTAAATCTTGCCACTGTTACTAACTTCCCAATTAAGAAATGTTTTTATCTTTTATTGGTGAACAGTCTAATACCTATGATTACCTCACAAACTCTGATTTGTTCCAAATATTAAAGCCTGCTGATAATTTAATTCCAACTTTCTTTCTAGAGCAAAATTACACAACAAGAAGAGACATTCAGAAAAAGTACAGATGAAGAAAACGTAAGTGGAAGAAATCCGGTATCGAAGAATTAAGTATTGATTAAGATATATGTTGTAATGTATTACTCTTTTCTTTTCTTTATTAAACCTTAAACAGATTTTTATCTTAAGAAAAATTAACATAATGCATCTGATAGCTTTATAGATACTTTATTTGTCTGTAATTTGTGAAATTTCTTTGCTACAGAGACGTAAGTATTCTAAGAAACAATATCAGGTTTCATAATTGTGTAATTTGTTATTGTAATACTGAAGAAAGGAAAACACTAAACAGTGTAAATGTACAACAATTATATTAATATGAAAGACAACATAATTCACAGGACTTGCAACTTTATATCTGGAGAATGATTTATATATATATTAACAGAATTAAAATGCATGAGGAGAGAAAGACCAAACAGAAAAAGGATGATGTAGTGCCTGAGGGGGCAGTCCCTGCCTATCTACTGGACAGAGAGGGACAAAGTCGTGCCAAAGTTTTATCTAACATGGTCAAACAAAAGAGAAAGGAAAAAGCTGTAAGTTACTGATGATGTTATAGACATTTGTTTTCATGTTCATCGATACTAAATATCTATTGAGAAACCTCACTCTGTTACTGTTACTCTGTTACTTGCATTGTGTATGGTTTTTGTCTTGCCTATGAAAAGTGTGAAGGTGACATTAGGGGGTTATTTTTGCAATGTCATGGGTGTTGCGTTGTCAACACTTCACTTTTTTTCTGTCGTGTTTTTTTTTTTTTATAAAGACAGATTTTAGTGTACTTTACAGTTAGTTTTGAAATACATGTAATGTCAAAACAGGATGGAAGAGGCATTATTATAATCATGTTTTATTCGTGTACTGTAAGATATGGAAAGATAATGTTATAAATGTCCAATTGAACTTATTTTCAGGGTAAATGGGATGTACCTATTCCAAAGGTTCGGGGAATTAGTGAAGCTGAAGTGTTTAAAGTAGTAAAATCAGGAAAAACTAAACGTGAGTATTGCCCATTACATTCACATGCACCATTTATATTCTGCAAGAATTAAGCAAACATGTATCTTATTTTGTTAAGTAAAATTACTTGCTGTTTCACTATCCTGTAATAAGCCCACCCCCTTGAATATGAGCCAAATTTGCACGTTGACCCCTAGGCTTCTTTACAGTAAAACCATAATTAAAATGAAAGCTACTTTCATATACATTGTATATTTGTTCTATATTTTATCATAAAATGAACAAATAATAAGATTACAGTGTACTGTCCAACTTTGCCAGGGTTTATAGTCGGATGGTGCAGTGGTAACACACTCACCTTTCACCTAGCCGACCGGGGTACGAATCCCGGAACGGACGTGAAAAAGTAAGGGTCACCTGCCCGACCACGTGGGTTTTCCCCTGGTACTCCGGTTTCCTCCCACAATAAACCCATTATGCGCTTACATCCATGCCAACAAGAGTGATCAGTATAAGTTGACATAACTTGTTTCGCAATTGTTGTAAAATGAATAAAGTTTATAATATATATATATTGTCACCTTTAATACAGCATAATGCACTCATATCAGAACACAAAAGTTTCTATTGATGCAGTGGCCGAGAATAGACAAGAATAGAATAGGTTTTCCCCAGGTACTCTGGTTTACTCCCACAATAAGACCCCTTGCACACTTAGATCCGGTCCAACAAAAGTGATGAGTATAAGTTGAAATAACTTGTTTCACAATGGTTGTAAAATAAATAAAGTTTATTATCAACAGACACAAATAAAATGGATTTATGCAGGGGATGACTGAAGTGTTATAAAGAGACCTCTTCAATCCTGAAACTTTACCAGTCCTATAATAGAATTTTTTTTTCATAAATTAAGAAAATGTTTAATACTTTATTTCTTTATTCTAGGTAAAGGATGGAAAAGAATGGTTACAAAAGTATGTTATGTTGGTGAAGGATTCACAAGAAAACCACCAAAGTTTGAAAGATTTATCAGACCCATGGTAAGCGACCATTCAAAATTGTCATATCTATATCTGTTAGTCCTTGACCATAAAACACCATTTACTGAGCGTTTTTTTTTTTTTTAAGAAATTACATGTATAGGTCCAAAGGGGGGATGTTCACATTGTGTAACAATAGGATTTTTACAAATTTTTTCCTTATTGAAAAAATCGAAAATTCTGCATGGCCACCATTATTGATTGTTCAGATTATCTGGTATACAAAACTGACACAAGCGGGGTTTGATGATATATTTATGAACAACAATAATAACTAAGATAATTTCTGTATAAATTCATGCAAATTATCAAAGTCAATGTATTATCCTAAATCAGGATAAAGTGTGTAAAAACATAACAAGTAAGCAAAACAGGAAACTAGTGATCAGTAAAGACAGGTGCATGTCTGGAATAGTGAAAAATGTATTGATTATAAAATGATTATCTTTTGAAACACTTAAAGGTCTGACGGCTGAGAAATAATTGTCATTATAAAATGATTATGGTCTGACGGCTGCGAAATAATTGTCCTTATAATATGATTATCTTTTGAAACACTTATAGGTCTGACGGCTGAGAAATAATTGTCATTATAAAATGATTATCTTTTGAAACACTTATAGGTCTGACGGCTGAGAAATAATTGTCATTATAAAATGATTATGGTCTGACGGCTGCGAAATAATTGTCCTTATAATATGGTTATCTTTTGAAACACTTATAGGTCTGACGGCTGAGAAATAATTGTCATGTTTCTTTTTATTCTCCTTCATGTTGGATATTAAGACAGAGAAGCCATGAGCACATGTCCGTTTTCATGTGTATTGGTTAGTGTTGATATGTTAGTGGAGTGGGAAGTGGGTCTTACCATTGGATGATGGATTTATTAAAATCTGTTTAATTGGTGTTTTTGATGTCTGTGACTCTAACGATAAATCATAATAAGAAGGGACAGTCTTTTTGCAAATGTCTTGCCAAAACATGTAGTGAAATGTTGTTCCTCTTTTGACAACACACATGTCCATGCCTTTAGTTCATTCCATGCATTCACTTAAATACATGTATACAGAGTTGAGGCCTCAATTTATGTCAGATGGTGCATGCACGACCTGACACCAAGACATGAAAGAAAACTTGACTCACAGAGATCACAATAACCTGATTTGGTTACTAATAGGTAGAAAATGACTTGTACCCCTGATTTTAACACTGTTGATTAGGCCTTCCAATGAGATCACTGTGTACAGACTGTGTACCTATACACAGAGCTGTGAGCTTAATCAACCAAGCAGGACATACTACATATGCCATATCTGGGCTCTTGTTTGAACAACAGCCCATCTACAATTAATTGTCTATTGTGTGGATACGATTAATTCTGGAATAATTCTGGTGCTATTTTAACTTATCAGTCTGCACCCTCAGCTTATGGTATGTAACAGGAAAAACACTTTTCATTTGTAAAAGCTTTTTCTGTATGTTGAATTGGAGAAACATGATCCTATAGACCAGATATTCAATCTATAATATACACTCTTTCTCTTCATTGAGTTATTAGCTGGTTTAATCAACATTTTGCAATTTTTGCTTTTTCTTTTCTGAGAAACTAGACATGTGCTGGTCAGTCGAAAATTGTCATTAATTTCACTTTTTTTCTTATTATGTTGATGCTACTGTTGTGACCATTTCACGTCAAAGTTGCCATAATGGGATGGTGTGTCTGTCTCTCATAACTTTAGATTGCCATTCAAGTAATTACATATTCATCAATCCTAAACAGGAAAAAGGCAATACTGGCACATTAGAATCAAGTGTACCATGTTACTTTCAAATAAGAAAGTCAAAGAGATCCTTGTATAGCAATGACCTAACAGTGAATTTATTGTCCTCAGGGATTACGGTTTAATAAAGCACACGTCACTCATCCAGAACTTAAAGCTACATTCTGTCTGCCAATCATTGGAGTAAAGAAAAATCCGACATCGACCATGTTTACCTCACTTGGAGTAATCACAAAAGGAACAGTGATAGAGGTAGGATGCTAACTTTATAGTTTGTAATAAGTTGTATTGATTTGCATTATTCTATACAGCCGACTATTTATACCCCCGACACATTTTGGAGGGCATGTATTGTTGACTATGTCACATTCCATCCCAATGTTTTATCTAATCTCATCCCATTGTTGTATACTGTCCTAAAGTGGTTATCTGTCAAGTTTAAAGTATTCATAAGTCTCATTTGACAAGTTCTGCAAATTCATTGAATATTTATATGAATGGGAGTGAGAGCATTTATGTCTCATATGATTTCTGCTATTTAAAAAGTAATTTGACCCGACTTTACAACCACTACACCAAGAAATACCATTCATTAACATATTTATCTGGAAAGTGATGGTTTGATTATAACAATAGGTTTTCTGTTCATCGGATCGTCCTTGATACTTCAGGGAGCACTTTCACTCTCCGCACTCCTGGAACATTTCATGGCAAAATTGAAGGAACCAGGAAAGTCATTTGATTGGTCTAGAGTGAATTTCATGAGAAAAAACTTACCAATCACAGACTGATATGCTCCTTTGGAGAACAAAGGAATGATGCTCAACTTCAGAGCAAGTACAACATACTGTTATGTGACCTCAAGATTTATTTGTTGTTCATCTAAGGACCAAATTTGTCTTCTTGTTTTATCCACAAGGAACCTTCAATTTTGACATGAAATGTTTCAGGGATGCAGAGAGGGATGGGGAGTGTATCCCCTGGAGTATTGAGGATGACATTAGCTTTGCATAATTTTTTGCATGATGTTTTTAAAAATCTTTAATGGGGAACTGTGACAGCTCTTATGTATTTTGCATGGTTCATTTGGTGCTGTGGGTTATATCCTGTTCAATATAATCAATTGTCAAATGAATCATTTTTACGGAAACTGGGCATAATATAGTGATCTAAAATGTATGTACAGAATTTTGTTAAAGTAATTATTCTGAATAATGCTGTGTATTTATTGACCGTTTGTTCTAATGCCGGTCTTTTCTTTTTCTTCTTCAAGGTCAACATCAGTGAACTTGGTCTAGTTACACAAGGAGGAAAAGTAATATGGGGTAAGATATATCCATTTATGTGTAATATTTATTTATTTTAAAGACCAGTAAATGTATGCATGGTTAATACTTTGCCAATAAAATATTGTAAATGAACTTATTGTAGTGGTAAATCTTATTTAAGTATTTTTGTTCTCGAGTAATAAACTAAAATATAAATGTGCTGATCACTATTCTGTGGGATGTTGTGTTTTAATGCAAATATTTATTAAATTAACTGACAAAGCCCCAAAATTTGATTTCATTTGATAAGTATGTTTATGACGCATAAAAACATGCAGTTCACAAGTTTTAGAGATAAAGTATTCTCCAATATTCTGATTTTGTTAAATCCATTTACCAAATTACTACAAGGAATTGTTGGAGAAGCATTTTATAACATCAAGCCTTTCTACAACTCAATTTGAAATTTTTTGTTTGCAGGAAAATATGCCCAGGTGACAAACAATCCAGAAAACGATGGTTGTATCAATGCTGTTTTATTGGTGTAGGTGTGATGAAGTCTCGTGATTGGTGGACCACCTGACAGAATGTAATTATATTCCAGGAACAGTGAACCATCAGACAGAATGTAATTATATTCCAGGAACAGTGAACCATCAGACAGAATGTAATTATATTCCAGGAACAGTGAACCATCAGACAGAATGTAATTATATTCCAGGGACAGTGAACCATCAGACAGAATGTAATTATATTCCAGGAACAGTGAACCACCAGACAGAATGTAATTATATTCCAGGGACAGTGAACCACCAGACAGAATGAATATGAATAGCAAACTATTAAGAGAGTCTTAAGAAATCTTCGTCCAAAACCAGTACCAAGTCTAACAGAATGCAATGAAATGTTGAATCCTTTTGCATTCTTCAACAGAATTGTCTAGTATTCTTTGAAAATTGTTGACCATCGTGGAAAACCAAGTTTGAAACAGTTGATTGGAAAATGCTGTTTGCTCTTAAACTTAAGTATGTGTATTGCTGTTTATCATACACACAATTATTGTGTCCAAAGACAGCATTGAAACATTAAATTTCAGTTCCAATACATTTCATGACTTGTGCAAGATTACAAGTCATATTTTCAAGAACTGATCAATAAGTGCAGCTTTTAAAACTAAATGTGAAACATCCAAATAAATGGACAATTGTCAGTAAACATCATACTGGACAATTGTCAAATCAAAAACATCCCCTTTTGTTTTGCTCATTTCAATGCTTGTATCTACCATTATTAATTACAAGAAAAGTAAGATATCTGGTTTATATAGTGTCACAAATAACATCTTTTTGTATGGCATTTATGGTCATGTACATATATATGTGAAATGTGATGCTTGTCTGAAATTTTTTGTCAGGTTTAGTGCACATAAATGCCATAACTAGACAGTTCCATTCATAAACAATTATGTGCCGAAAAAAACTCACGTCTCTGTAGAAAAGAAAACCAGATAACACCGGAGAGAATGGTGTCAGTATCAGCATTTACATTAGAAAAGTCTACTTGCAAGAGAAGACTTTTACGATGTATCTTTGTACGACAGTCAAAGTTCCTACAAGATCCAAGAGGGACCTTGGTGCCAACCATTGTATATATATCGGTAATTCTCCAGAATAATTTGAATCTTTTTTTTTCTTCCTTCCTCATATTTCATTATTATACAAAATACTAAGATCATGGCCATTTGTCAGTCAGGGACATAGCACAACAAGGGTCCAATTGAAACCTACACATACAAGAGGCCCAGAGGGCCTGTATCACTCACCTGGCAAAATTGATTCCTCTTCACCCAAGAATGATTCAGACCAAATTTCTTAAATCCCAAGGGGTCAAATTGACTTGAATTTCAAAAATCTTCTCAAGACAAAGATATGGTAGAATCTAATACTCTTCATGAATGGAAGCATCTTAAGGTACTTTAGTATGAAATTGTGAATTTCATGGCCCCAGGGTCATTACCGTGTGGAGGGGGTAAAGTTTACAATAGTTCATGACGAAAAACTAGATTTTAAAGCATAATTTGTTTAATTTTTATTGAAAATATTTCAAACTTGGTTTGAATTATGAGTGAAGGATGACAGCTTGATGGTATGCCCATTTTGATCCTGATTGACCCCCAGGGGCTGATGGGCGAGGCCAAAAGGGGTAAAACTGACTTCAATTTCAAAAACTTTCTTCTTAAGACCCAGATGTGGTATAATCAATTGCTCTTCATGAATAAAAGCACCATAAGTTGCTTTAATAACCAAAATGAGTCTCACATTTCTTCCTGTAGAGGAATATTTTTTTAGATTTTACTGTAATTTTCATGGAAAAACAGCATTCTTGAGCATAATGATTATTTCCCACTGGAAGTAACTTAGTAAGAATTATCAGTATAGGATGACAGTTTTGATGGTATTCATGTATTGACACTGTCTATATTCAGTGTCACAATTTCTGTTTCCTGACACTTGATAACTATGCTTTAACCTTTATGTTCAATATTGCTTATCGCAGGTGATGTCAAGGCCGCTAGGCCTCTTGTTCAAAAACAATACATCCGGAGTAATAGCAATTTTGAAGTGCATGTATAAAGAATATGATTTCAAGTTTGCAACAATGTCTCCTATGTAAGCTGTAGAGTAGTTGAGCAATTTATTTTTAGCTTATTTTGCCTCTTTCATATATAGGTCTTTATAGTCAGATGACCGTTAAGGCCCATGGACCACTAACATATATAGGTCTTTATAGTCGGATGACCGTTAAGGCCCATGGACCTCCAACATATATAGGTCTTTATAGTCGGATGACCCTTAAGGCCCATGGACCTCCAACATATATAGGTCTTTATAGTCAGATGACCATTAGGGTCCATGGACCTCCAACATATATAGGTCTTTATAGTCAGATGATCGTTAAGGCCCATGGACCTCCAACATATATAGGTCTTTATAGTCAGATGACCGTTAAGGCCCATGGACCTCCAACATATATAGGTCTTTATAGTCAGATGACCGTTAAGGCCCATGGACCTCCAACATATATAGGTCTTTATAGTCAGATGATCGTTAATGCCCATGGACCTCTAACATATATAGGTCTTTATAGTCAGATGATCGTTAAGGCCCATGGACCTCCAACATATATAGGTCTTTATAGTCAGATGATCGTTAAGGCCCATGTACCTCTAACATATATAGGTCTTTATAGTCAGATGACCGTTAAGGCCAATGGACCTCTTGTTTAATAACAGTCTAGATATCTCCTTCCTCAGTTTTTAACTGAAACCTTTGTAACTAGATTTTTCTCCTAGATATTTTGACACGTTACCTTTCCCTTATTTGCAATCTTTTTCATACAACAAATCATGAATATTGCTTTGCCATGGAATGGTGTTCCTGCTTTACTTGTTACTAGACAAATGGGAAGATTGTTTCAAAAATGTTACTTCTTTGTCATCATATACACTATGTATAAATTTACATTTCCTGAAATATTGAAATACTTCAGCTGTGTGTTTAAATGGGTCCAAAAAAGTAGTTTTATCTAGAAGATGTGTGCTTAAATGGAGAGCAGTGTGCTCAAAGCTGTTTGCTTGCTTGGAAAGTTGTTTTCTCAAAGCTGTTTGTTTGCTTGGAGAGCTGTGTGCTCAAAAGCTGTTTGTTTGCTTGGAGAGTAGATAGCTCAATGCTGTTTGCTTGCTTGGAGAGCTGTATACTCAATACTGTTTGCTTGGAGAGCAGTGTGCTCAAAGGAATCAAAGAAAGTGACCTGGGGGAGTCTGGAATGTGTCTTTACACATTGATTAAGTTGTGTGATTGAGGAAACATGAATCCAGATTTATAACCTGAAAGTAAAGCAGAACTTACAAGTACTAATGGTGGAACTGCAAGTACTAACTGGGTTGGGCAGAACCCCTCATATGAGTAATAGTCCTGAATTTGAGGGATAGCTACTGCTTTGGGTAATCAGTCTTTTACTTATGCAGGGTTATTCTGAAATAAAAACATTAAATTCTTTTGAACATTTGCAACTAAAGAGGGTGTCTTCTATCTAGTAGGACCCAATGGCCAATGTGACCATGTATATAATTGCTTAATAAACTTTGTGTTCCACTGACTACAGTGTACAACCAGTGGTGGTATTTAGTACTAATGTCACCGGTGAGCATGAACTTAAATGTGTTCTATTTTACGCTACAATAGTTGATAAACAATGAAAGTGATTAAGTTTGACTTTTTAGAAAAAAGCAAGACAACTTATCATTTTTTTGTGTAAAAATGTTCAGTGTTGCATTGCTTATTGGGCTATGTCAAAAATATGATGCCATTTTTTTGTTGCAAATATTTAAAAGAACTTTGTGTTTCAATTTCAAATGACTCTATATTAGGGTAACTAATTGACTGCTCAAAGTGATATCTTTCCCTCAAATCCCTCTGTTACCCTATGAGGGATTGTGTCCAACTTGGAAATGATGTAACTATACAAGTATGTAAAAATAGAGAAACTTTGATGTAAAACTTGGGACAGAAACTTGTGTGGCACAGTAGACATAACGATATCAGGGTTAAGGATAATTTCCAGAAAGTATATCATATTATTGGGTTTTGTGTGTATTTTGGTGTTGTTTAAACTATTACGCTGTAGCTGTACATTGTGAACTGGCCTATTTCCACAATTCTCAAGAACAGCCAATATATTTATACAAGATTATAATTACAGTCTGTCCCATGTTTTGGCTGTTACCATGATAGGATTCACTTCATTCCACAAGAGGTTTTTTGCTCAATATAACCAGATCAAATTAATATTGCCTAAAATGTTGGTAATACATGGAATACATAATCACGGCATTAAGCATTTTCTGTACATTCTGTAACTTAGAAAAGGAGACAATTATTCATATTATGTGGGAATGTCCAGAAGTTCAAAAATTTTTAGAAAGTGTAGAAGTTTTGCTGGAGGCTCTTTTTATTCCATTTTCCTTCAATAAAATAAGTTTTCTGTTTGGTTTCATTGCTAATAAAAATCAGTTAATCAGTAGCAAACATGACAATGAAATCTTAATTATCATTAAATATTACATATATAAGGCAAGATGTCAACACAAAGCCTTAAGTGTATATAGTCTTATTTATTCAGTCAGGGAATTTTATACCTTTCAGAAATATATTGCCAATAGTAAAGGTGAACAGGCACAGTTAAGTTTTAATGAGGAATGGAGAAAATTATTGGAATTGGCCAATTCTTAACTTTAAATACATTTACTGTCATGTAGTATGTTTTACCGTATTTTAGTATTCTCTGTCTTTACATTATAGCAGGCCCCTTGCTTACCCTTATAGTATTTATTTATTTATTTATTTATTTACCAGGTATTTTTCTTTATACTCGAGTCCCTATTGTTTCGCTGATTATTGCAATTTTTACTAACCCAGATCACCTCTCTCTCTCCCCCCCTCTCTCTCTCTCTCTCTCTCTTTCTTTTTCTCTCCTCTTTATCTTTATGTGTAGTATTGATGTATGTGTAGGAGTGGGTGTGTAAGGGTAGTGTTGTGATGTTAGTAAGGGTGTTGATGAAAATGCCAGGCGATGATGTATGGATGGATTTCAAGTTATAATGACAAATTGTGTTGATAGTTAGGTTGATGATGAGGTGCATATGTGATAATGAATGCTGAGGATGAATCTATTGACATGAAGGTGGTGACAAAGGCATATTGAATATGACAATGATGAAGAATGTATTGACATGATTACTTGATTGAGATCATGATGACTGATGATTATGATGAGGAGGTAATGTTTATAATGAGGAGGATAATGATGATGAGGTAATGTTTATAATGAAGAAGATAATGATGATGGTAATGTTTATGATGATGATGATGATGATGATGATGATGATGACGATGATGATGATGATGATAATGATGATGATGATGATGATGATGATGATGATGATGATGATGTTTCTTTTTCTTCTTCTGATGATGATGATTACGATGATGGTGTTTGTGATGATGATGATGATGATGATGATGATGATGATGATGATGATGGTGGTGGTGGTGGTGGTGGTGGTGGTGGTGGTGGTGGTGGTGGTGATGATGATGATGATGATGATGATGATGATGATGGATGGATGATGATGATGATGATGATGATGATGATGATACAACTTAATCAAGATTATGGTGATGTGTGAGTGAGCATATTGTATGTTGTATGTTTGATGATGTTTTGTTGATGTAATTGTTATGTACATTAAAAACTCTTGAAAAATAAAAAAATAATAAAAAAAAAAATTAAGCATTTTCTGGATATTGGTATAGTCGCTGTAATTGTAAGATAGTGAATCCCTATTCTGTTTCAGGAGACTGCTTGTAGACTACGGCCGTTACAATCAGAACACACTTTGTTTTAAATGTCCCTGAAGTCCTGATACCATATACAGGAGGAGTTCTGTAGGCATACCTACTCCCTCCTCTATGTGATCTATATGTTCCATATTAAACACTTTTATTTGTGTAACATGATTATCATTGTTCTAGTTAGGGTGGAGGTATCAAGCATCCTCCAGTTCAGAAAGTGTACATTTTGTCTAAACTCCAACCACAACTACTTTTTCCTCCTCTTTCCAGATGTATTTATCATCATCAAACTTATCAAAGTACAAGATCCAAACAGATTGTATGATATTATACAGATATAGGGGTCTAGGGAAATCCTATACATTTTGTTCTGGGTTACTTGGGTAAAATTTTCTCATTACAGGCACCTTCAGACAATAAGACATCTCACCACTTGTTATCACAGACACATGTAATACAAAATGAAATCCTCCATTTATCAAACACAAAACTTTAATATCACATTTAGTGGCACATGCATCCTACATTTTTTCTATGTGTGTTTCTCTCATATTCACAAGTTGTTTCCTATTTAGACTAACTGAATGTTTTTTCGTCCTTTCCTGACATTTCATTGTCCTCAAGCTGTACTTGTGTTTCTTTGTACCGAGATAGTCTGTGTATTTCTGGGTCTATTTCTGAACTTCTTCTACGAGAAAGATAATCAAAAAAACAAAAGAGAAATGTCGCTGTTGAAGCAAATACTAGCACTTTTCTGGGCACGAATGACATTATCCTCCTTATTTTCCTGCAGGACTCTACAATCAAAGACAAAAAGTATTACAGTGAATATACATTTGAAATCATATGTATTGTAAATATACAAACAAACAATTCAAAGTTATAATGCATATTGATTTTTAATTTTGATTAGAAGGAACTAGGGCCATTAAAATGTCTTATTGTCTTTTCTCTTATTTCTCTCAATCATATGTTGTTAAGTTTACTGGTGAATTAACTTTGATAATGTACATAAATCAACAAGACATGCAATATATCTTGGCACCATTCATTATATCAACTGATTCTTTATAGGTTGGTTCATTTTTTTCTTATTTTTCTTCTTTAATTAAAACTTTTTCAATTTAATACATAAAGGGGAGGACCCTGTATTGTATTTATCCTGATCCATATCTTATATTTTTCAGCATTTTAAAAAAGCTTAAAATTGATTCTTCAATTGAGAGTGATTTTGTTTTTAAATCCTTATCATTAAGAATGTATTATTTCAGGTTTGTTTATACATTCAATTGTAAGTGTAAACATTTGATATTCTGGTCACTGAGTATTTTTCGACGTTCAGGTAAGCTTTATGATTGTTAACAATATAACATTAAAATTCTGATCCATTCAAAATCATTTTGAAATATTTAATATTGTAACAACTAATGTTCTATTTCTGGAAAAGCTGGAACATTACTGTCCCAAGAATCATGTATGTAATTTTGTAAGTTTCACTGTACCTACATCTCACAGGAACTGTCAGATAAGTACTTTTTGTCTGAGTGATTGATTATAAATGTATCATGGTGTATAATGATTTTTTTTCAGTTTTACAAGTTGAAGATAAGATGAGAAGAGCTTACAACATCATGAAAATACCAACATATCAACCTACTCATAATCTTAACTCAAATTCAATAGACCAAGGGTAAAACATTAACCAAATAAATATTTACACAGAAACTCCTAAAAAAGTACAAGGAGAATAAGACTGTTTTGTGCCATCATGATAATCGGGCATCCATTCTTCCAGCCATTAAATCTCACTTGTTATTACTACTTCCAGAGACGTATATATCACATATACGTCTCTGCTACTTCTGAATGTTCATTACCCCGTAATAATAGCTCACTTGACCCTTCAGCTAAAGCTACAAGCTAAGCAACGTGCGATTCATGTGTAGCAACATAGAGCAATGATCGTGTTCCTTAATTGGAAAGTAAGCCATTGTTTACCTTCTCAGTAAGCAGCAATGAATCACACTTACAGGGCTCTCTACAAAACCTTGTTATATACTGTCTGTTGATTTTTCCGGCGACGACTGTGGGGTTGCTGTAGTGCTGCTTTCCTTTGCCCTTTCCTTTCTCTGCCTTTCAGCGGCTTCTTGAAAAGTTGGTAAAAATGTATATAATCCGCCAAATACTCCTAGTACAACAAAAAACAATTTCGCACCGAAATCACCGTTTTTTCCTTTCTTTATCAACATTTCATTCCAAATACTGTCTTCACCTCTAAAACACGTTACTCGCAGGCAGGGTCACAGGAACGCTTAATCGAAATATATAATAAATGATTCGGAGACTGCTATGGGAGCATCCGGACCATTGAAATGGTAGGAATAGTTGCCCTTATAGGTAGCAGTAAACAGTTAATTTGCATTTTTCCTGAAATTATTTGTCATGTTTGAGATATACAGGTATAGCAGATTGGTTATGAAAAATACATCATTACATGTATATATATTTATAAACTGTATAACAATTACATTAACAGTAGAGAGATGAAATTTGTGTAAAAAAAAAAATTCCTCTGATTTCTGACATTTGATTGTCATGGTTACCTACTGAAAAAATGCTAAAAATGCAAAAATACTGCTAATTCCAATCCAACACTACAACTTTCTAGGAGAAATTTAATTCTAATCACCTATCTTACAATCAACAACACTGTCGTGGTAACAAAGTACTTACATTTCAGCAAATTCCAACTCGGAAATTCTTCATAACATGACCACATGTAAACACTATGAAAATTTCACTTCCTGTAAAGCTAGTTTTTGGTGCGTTCAAATAGTAATCTCCAACACAAAGCTAAAATATTATCCTGAAAAAAATGAAACCCCACATTGTCCACTTTAACATGACAGGACCAATTTTAGCAAGGATTTTTTTTTCATTTTTAATTAAAACCTTTATAATGGGGTAATCTAATGAGCAAAAAAATCACCCATGGCCACACCGAGAAACTGTGTACTGCTACCATAATCTTGAACGTTTTTCAGGTCTTCCCCCTGTATTTCTCAAAGAATACAAATAATCAAACAGATCTCAGATACCCAAAATGGATCATAGCGCCCACACTAATATGATTTGTAATATATATATATTTTGTATAGAGGGCCTTTTCTTAGTTACTATCAACAGTTTCTTTGTGAGATGAATCACTTCCCTGATGTTCACTTCTTAGTTTAACTTTACTAAAACAAATATATAAAATAATAAATCTACATACATAAACATGCTCTCTTCTTTCCCTGTTACATTTTATTTGGCACATCAATAAATAAATCCATTGCGAAATTTTAGAAGAAAGGCAGAGGGACAATCTGTGAACAACAGGACAAAAGAAAAAATATCCACATTTCTTCATTCAAGATGGCCACCTGTCACCCATTTTGTTTCTCCGATCTGTCTCAAAACTTAAAGAGCATCATCTGGGACCTTGGAGAACTTAATGGTACATGATGAATTAGAAGCAGATTCATCCACTTCTTGCAAATAAAAAGAATTTTGTGTAATCAGAGACATATATACTGAATGGATAAAGAAACGCATCTTTGTTAATTGTGAAAAAACTTTGTATAAGATATATAAAGATGTATAAAAAGTAAGAGGGATATTAGGGCACCTTATCTAATCCCCTAATAAATGTTATTAAGATAAGTCCTCCATGACGAAAAAACTTACCCACATCCGGTGCGCTTGATTTACCATGGTAGCAAGCTGTACAAATGCATTCGTTATATTCCCTTCAAACTAGTGTTGATTTTTGACTATCATCAAGATGCGCAAATACCTTTGAAATTAATAATTGTTTTTACAATTGTTTTTTACAAATATGCCACGACTATTCCACCATAATAGAGGACGGGCTCTCGCAATGCTCATGGAAGACTACTTAACGGTGGTCGCCACTCACAAATCCAAAACACCACAGGAAGAGTTGATGGCAGATCGAGATTTGGATGTTCACGTGTAACTTTGCGATGTGAATTACCCACTTACGTGACAGGATATTAACGGCAGTCAAAATGACACGAAATACCATTGCTAAATGGAAACCGTCAAATCCACCCAAAGACTATGAGAAATAGACTGTGTGAGGTAAAATTTACACCCACGTCGCCTGTACGTCGATTTGCTGATGACACTTAAACGTTGATGATGATATTGTCGATGGTGACGACACATGTGCCCAGATGTTTCCCTTTGCTCTTCACGGATGGATCTCTATTTTTGATTATTTCGATCAGATAGCTGACAACGTGTATCGGGGTAGAGGAGAGCGTCTTCAGACGCTGGAGATTTGGAGCACCATATATTTGAGGGTGGATTGGTTATGGTTTGAGGAGGAATTCCTCGTGGTTAAAAGACACCTTTAGTGATATTTAACCAGAATTTAGCAGCTGTACACCACATTGCCCCTTTCATTAAAAGGCACCATTTGACCTCTCGGCATGATAATGCTAGGCAACATGTTGCATGGGTTTTATAGGAACTTTCGTGCAACTCAGAACATCATCTGTTACTTGGCCTCCATATAGCACGGTGTAGCATGGTATTGTGAAACATGAGGAAATGAACCAGTGTCAAAAATATCATAATGGGAAAATTAGCTTTTTCTCACCAATTATCTTCTCTAATTACCTTGATTCATAAATAAAAACACATCAATAACAGAAAATATGTCTGGGGTGGAGAAATTTAGGGTAGGGCAGGAGGGGGGCACTATTTTCTTTTTCATTTCACATAAATAACAAAAACATGATCTGAGGTAGGAAAAAAATTAGGGTGGGACAGCTGGGGGTGGGGTCACCTTACCAGGCCATGGTAAAGTGAACCCCCCTCTTTCCCTCCCCTGCCCCACCTAGACATATTGTCTGTTATTTGTGTGTTTGTATGATTGAAACCAGGGTGATCAGAAAATAGATTGGTGAAAAAAGTGATTAAGTATGAAAATCATGAAATGCTTCACTTTACCATGGCCACCCTAAATTTCCTCACCCCAGACATATTTTCACTTTACCATGGCCACCCTAAATTTCCTCACCCCAGACATATTTTCACTTTACCATGGCCACCCTAAATTTCCTCACCCCAGACATATTTTCACTTTACCATGGCCACCCTAAATTTCCTCACCCCAGACATTTTTTCACTTTACCACGGGCTCTACTTCATCACAATACTCAGGCTTTGTCCCTAATCAAACACTTGTGAGATGAATTAGATTTTGGTATCAAGCAAACATCCAAATAACCTATGCCAACTGGCCAACTCACTTGCTGAGAAATTAACAATGTTCCTATGAACTTCATGCCATGTAGGATTAGAGATGCTGTAGCTGTTTGGGGAGCACAGACAATATAAGGAATTGGTCTGACAACTGCCATGCCCCAATTCAAAGTGGCCTATTGAAGTCCTTATTCATTGAAAATCTAAGAAAATTTGAAGACGGATGGTCCGATATTCAAAGTTAAATATTGCGTTTACATTTAGATATATACATCACATAAATATTATCTTATTAAACCATTAAGTTGGTGTTGCATTTTTTTCCTCTTAGTACATGTCTCTTCTGGCATAATTTATGTCCCACCTGTCCCGACTTCATCTTTATATAGTAGGCTTTATTTTCATGCTACGTGTAAATACACTAAAATTCATGGCTTTGCCCTCCAAAGTACATGTACCAAGCTTTGAATAATATATAAACATTGCAGATATGCTGTTGTCAGGTTTAAAGAGCGATGCATTGTAACATATGAAATGAATATCTTAAATATGACAATTTTAGCTAAAAAATAATTCTTTTCAATGAGGGAGAAAATAACTTGTTTTTTTAGTACTTTTTTTGTATGAACATATGTCCTAAAGTGACAACCACAAAATAAAATTAATAGTACATATTTGGTGGGTTAAGCTAGCCATATTACAATGTAACTATATACAGGGTTTGATTGGAACAGTCTATATACTTTATGAGAAATGAGCTAAACAAAAGTCCACCTTCTCATCATTCCTTATTTTCAGACTTGTTGGATCATAAAATCTGGGAGATATTTGATAAACAATGAATGTGTTGTGTCTACTATGTAGTCTAGCGCTAAAATAAATTTGACTAAAGTTGGGTTTATACTTTTTAGCAACAGATCTTGACACAAATGTTCAACGTGAAACATTAATTAAACGGCACTACTAATAGGAACCAAGGGGAATTAACTTACATATGAAATTTAAGGAACATTAATTCTATATCTATTTGTAAACAGCTATAACAAGATTCAATTGTCAAAATCCAAGATGACTGCCTATCAGCCATTTTCTTACCCCACCATGTTATCAGGTTACATGGTTTTCAAATTGCTTTGCCTTTGTGGTCAGTCACCCATCTTTAAACAATTCTTGTTATCTCTATTTCTTGAGATGTGCTGAATGAATCTTCCTTAAATTTCCTCTTGATCCCAATGATGCACTTTTATTTCTGGGACTGATCAGGAAATCAAAATGGATGCCAGAAAAAGGATTTTCATAAATCTACTCTGTTGTCTTTATTGGTGCCCCTCCCAATCCTGTCCCATGAGACCTAGACCCACTGTTTGATTCTCCTTCACCCTAAGACACTTAAAACCAAATTGGGACAAAATACTGTCAATCCTACAGAAGCACGTTAAGGATTTTGATAAATTTACCATTTTGGGAGACCCCTGCGGGCTGAAACCCATCACTCCTACAAAATCTGTACTCCTCCTTCAGATGCTTCAGCCCTAAGGTGGTCAAAATCTGTTGTTTATGGCCAGAAGTGATTTTTTGGCAAAGTTGATAGGTAATGGCAGGATGACAGATGCTGTGCTAAGGCATAAGACCCCACTTCCAGCAACAGCTTTAGGTTTCACTTAACTGGCGAGCTAAAAACACTAAATACTATCCTTCCAACTTTTCTTATTTTCATTTCTTTATCTGTTGGAGTGAATTTTAAAATTTTTCCTTCATGACAAATTGATGAGAGCAAATTACATGGCAATAAAGCTATTGTAAACAGTTATAATGTGTTAAATGCTTTAATAACAAAACAATTTTTATAAACTATCTCCATACAACATTTTTGACAATAACTGAATGAGTTTGCATTTGAGTGGCAGTACATTTCACATAAAGCATTTCTACTTAAGCATAAAGCATGTCTTATATGCCCAAACTACTGTTATATATCTTTGTCACAGTAAGCTTTGTGAAGTTACCCTTTGACAAAATCTTATCTGAAATATTTCTCTAAAAAAAAAAAAAAAAATTAATAATAATTATGTAAACAATCATCAATTATCTGATACCATTTGATGATTACAATCTAAATATTCATCGCCAAAATTTCGAGATGATACTTTCTGGTGATACCCAGGGTACATTGATGATACCTTTTTTGGTGATACCCAGGGTATATGTATAGCAATGAGCAAGATACACACAGCATTCATGATTTGTTTGTCCTCTTTTAGCCAAGATCACTTTTGAAACTTACAACCAACGAAGTCAAATTGATGAATGCAACAAACTTCAATATGTCGTTAACACAAACACTGTCAATATATGGCTAACACAAGAAAATGACTTTAAATTCTTTTAACAGAGAGAAAGAAAACAAAATTGATATTAAAAGCTATCTTGATATCACAATTGCAGATTTCAATGCCAGTACAATATTGTTTCCATTTAGAGTTTCATAGCACAGCAACAGTATTTACAAGCCTTATAAAGGACTTTGCTTGTAACTCACAGTTCTGACACTCCTACAATGGAGTGTAAGGACTGCTGGTTACCAACGATGGATAAAGGAAAGGAATTGTGGATCCAGAGCCTTGTTACTTGACAGAATTTCAATGCAAAAATGCAAAAATTCATTAATAATTAGATAATTAATCGTATAACAAATGTAACAATGTTTATTTCTCATAATTTTTTTTATAATTTTTTAATCATCAGAGTAAAAACTATAAGTAAATAAACTAAAATAACTAAAAGCACCAGAACATTTCTTTATCAGACTTCATAAAGTGAAGGATCATTAATCAAGAACATTGGATATCATGAACAGCAGCATCACATGTCACAAACTAGGTCATCACGTCACAAATTAGGTAATCACATATCACAAAATAGGTCATCACATGTCACAAACTAGGTCATCATGTCACAAACTAGGTCATCACATATAACAAACTACACCATCACATGTCACAAACTACGTCATCACATGTCTCTATGTCATCAAATGTCTAAAACTATGACATCACATGTTACTAGTTATGGCATCCACAAACTATAGCTTTTTATTCTGAAAAATATCACAAAGCAATAAGACTATACAAATTCTCACAAATATTACAGTAAAGAACCATCACTTTTATTTCACCATACATATTGGAAGTCTTGGTGATCAATTTATTCCGAAGAATGTACAGGGAATAAGTGTTCACATACTAATGTTCTTTTTCAATGGTTTGGTCCCAGGCTTTTTCGACGCAATAATGGTGGCTTAAAGGTCTTGTTGACAGATTGACTGGTTTTTGACAAAAGAGGGGACAAAGGAGTTGGTGACCCAAAGTTCAGCAGACGTGCCATTTTGGCCTGGTATGTGATATGTCCCTGTTTACTGGTGCCAGGTTGCATACTGTCCTCCCCAACAGATTGCGCTGGTAAAGAATGAGAGGATGTACCTTCTGCAGAAGTTTTCAGAATGGAATCCAGGGGGTCTGGTATGCTTTTCTTCAGATTTTTCTGTCAGAGAAATCATTTCATCAACAAGGAACTATAAGGTTGTTGAAATAAGTTACAAATAACTCTTATTTGATAGAGAGTTGCTGTCACTAGAGATTTGTATACCTAAATCTCCCATGACTTATAGGTCTAAAATATTGTACACACAGAAGATAGTTCTAAATATTACAGTTAAGTGAGAATTGTCTTAACATCTTCCATATTTTGTTACATTCAGCCAACGCAAAGAAAATATTCTTTTACATTACGATTGTGCCAATAAGGGGCAATGATGTTTTTCTACAATTATACCTCACTATCTCTTTCACAGAAAATTTCCAAAAATTGACAATTATTTAAACAAGAGAAAGTCTTACTTCTGGTGTGAACTTTTTTGTGTTTTCTTTCTTCTGCTTCTCAAGGGCTGACAGATGTTCCTTTGCTGCCTCCAGAAACCCATGTGTATCCTATGACAGAGTAATACAAATAACAGTGAGTCAAGGATATTACAGAAAGTACAATAATAACTGGTCCTTAATTCATCACCCTATTTGTCAACCACAAATTCTGTACCTCCTACTCTGTATATTCTTTACATGTAAATGTTTGTGTATCAATTCAGCGTAAAGATATGTAAAGGCCCATAATGTCTGTGTTTTTAATAATTGTGAGCCCCATGTTATTGTTAAAGTGTAAAGGTCCTTGAGAACGGTATTAATTTTTAAACATAGCTACATTTGCATCATTGACAAAGACTTTGTCATATACATGAGCCATTTTAGACTTATATTTTGGTGGACTATACAATTTCATCTTTAACAATATTCTCCTTAGGTTTACAGTGTAAACTGGCACCTGATTTCTTTATCACAATATAAAACTACTTTCAGACTTTGAATCCTGTTTACTTACAATAGATCATACACTGTCAACATGCTTCTTTAGGAGTAATCAAATTTTAGCAATGATGAATTCACACATTAATTACTATATTAATGACATACAGAAACTACAGTTTACAATCACATTTCAGTGTAATATCTCTGTAGGACGAAAGTACTAAAATATAATCATTTACGGTAGTACAGTTTGTTCTTAGAAGTACCAAAAGAAGCCCCTTAGAAACATTTCTCAATTATCAAGAGTTTTCAGGTTCGAAATATTTCAAGCATACCGATGATACAGATTTTAGTCTTTCGAGGGCCCTCCTCTGTGCTGGGTACTGAGAGGTCTGTGTGATGACTGAACACTCCATGCTGGCGTCCAGAAGTGGCAGGACAGACGACAGATATGCTGATTTATCCATCAGATTACTGGCACAGAACAGTCGACCTTCAATTAAGATGTCTTCTGGTAAGAAACTCTACAAAACCAAAAAGTACTTTTGTTTAACCAATCAAAAATACGGATTAAATTATTACAAATAAGAAAACATTCCACAATACACAGTGTTTGAAAAATAAACAGATTTGTTTCAATAGCATGCAGACTTTTGAAATTTATACCTTTAAGCCACCCCAGAACTTGATCCCTAGGATATCACTATTGGCGTCCACAGCGTAGATCACATCCTGGTGTCGACCGCTGAAGTAGACAAGGACACAAAACTAGACTTCTGTATATCAGCACTGTATATGATGTATTACAAATTCTTAAACACTAACAAAATGTATAAATAACAAGGTTACCTTTCTGAAAAATCCAGTGTTGATACTGACACTACCATTCCTACAAAGTCAGCTTCACCATACAGGGACTGGCGACGTTTTATGTCCTGCACAGACAACACCTGGAATACAAAGACATTGATACACAAAAAAGCTGGTTCTATCTCTAACTTCTTCAGTCATATGTTGAAAAAACATATTCACAAAATATATTGGGATGTCAATTTCTGGAAGCATATCACACAGTAGTATAAGATTTCGTTAGAATGAAGTGGCTTTTAGGTAAAAAGCTATACATCAAAAATGTCCTTAACTATTTTATACAAGATTATTTAGCTCAGAGTGAGACGCCATGAAGCCACTGTGGTCAAGTCTATAGCTCAGAGTGAGACGCCATGAAGCCATTGTGGTCAAGCCTATAGCTCAGAGTGAGATGCCATGAAGCCATTGTCGTCAAGCCTACAGCTCAGAGTGAGATGCCATGAAGCCATTGTCGTCAAGCCTACAGCTCAGAGTGAGATGCCATGAAGCCATTGTGGTCAAGCCTACAGCTCAGAGTGAGATGCCATGAAGCCATTGTGGTCAAGCCTATAGCTCAGAGTGAGATGCCACGAAGCCATTGTCGTCAAGCCTATAGCTCAGAGTGAGATGCCATGAAGCCATTGTGGTCAAGCCTATAGCTCAGAGTGAGATGCCATGAAGCCATTGTGGTCAAGCCTATAGCTCAGAGTGAGATGCCATGAAGCCATTGTCAAGCCTACAGCTCAGAGTGAGATGCCATGAAGCCATTGTCGTCAAGCCTATAGCTCAGAGTGAGATGCCATGAAGCCATTGTGGTCAAGCCTATCTCTTGAGAAAGACAATAATATAGGCACAACACTGAAGAAGCACATTGTGATCTCAAACCGGAAAGAAGCTGTATTTGCTAAACTACAAAAAAATGAAAATACTGAAGGCCTTAAACTTAAAACATAACCTGATCAATAATATGACAATCTGCAAACTTTCCAGATTGTCTCAGCCCTCATTCTTAGCATTTCATTTTGAGCCAAACTTTTACAGCAAGCTGATAAATAAGGAAATTTATATATTTCATAAAAAGAATTGAAATTAAAAATATTAATTATTTATGAGAGAACAAAACTTTTAAAGTTATGGGAAAAGATGCTGTTTGCAACTGAATCAGATACAATTCACGTAACAAATGCTTTACAACCTACATCTGGCCCACATCCACTTTCATAAAAATAGGTCAAAGTGGACAATCAAATGATCTGAAAATAAAGGTCATAGTGACCTATATGTCTCATTGAGTGGTACAAGTAATGTTTGAGAAGTGGAAAAATCAGACACAAAACAGACCATGAAGTGAAAAAAGTCCAGGGAAACAGTAAATATTAAGCCCTGTGACACAAAGAATTGGTTGAGGATGCACATGTGTGGAGCATTACCCTTGACAAATTCTATTTAATGATATTGTAAAAGTGGTATCATGGCTGTGTTAATTTATCTTTTTTTTTCTTATTGATCAAGACCAAGACATCTATTTAACATTACATGATAAAATTGTCCATAGGACCTATGGCTGATTTTCTGGTTTGCATTTCAGATATAAATTTATCTGGATTTTTGTCCTGTTCTACTTCTTGCTTGAAGCTTTGAGAGCTCTTTTTGAACTTTCTATCTTTTCTACTCTTTTTTTAGTTTCTTTGGCGATTCTTTCTTCAACATGAACTTCTTCCTTACTCTGTCCTTCCTCAGTGTCCAATACATGTATTCACTCTCCTGTTCAGTGCAATCTCAATCATTCTGTACATGTTTGTCCTTTTTATCATCTTTGTCGACAGAATCTGGATTGGAATCATATCACTAGACTCGGATGTTGACGTTTGTCGTCAAGTGGCTGAGGGTAGTTCGCTGGCTTGTGTCCCTCCTGTAGGCATATCTTACAAATCCATGTAGACATACACTAACTCGTGTGGTGTCCCTTTTGCACTTATTGCAAGTAATGTTTCCATTAGACTGACCTCTATGTCTTACAACTGCTAATATCGCTCTATTTCAAAGTCGGGCAGCAGTGGTTTTTTAAGTTTGTCCACAATGACAATTTGCTTTCCTGTCTCACAGTTTGTCAACTATCCAGCAACATGTAATTTTACCATGTAGAAGGCCTTTAAACAATGAGTCAATGCTTGAAGGGCTCTCTTTATCTGTCCATCATCAGCGGACAATGAGATATTTTTTACACAAACCATCATGGTCTCTGCTAGGATTTATGTCATGTAGAGAAATGGATTTGTTTCACAGGACAATACTTTTTGTTAACAGTCGATCTCTGGAGTTAGTGTTGTCTATATATCTCCTCCGTAGCTGTCCGACTCTTTACAGTCCAACAATGGTTACTGCGTGAATATTCCAGGTCACCTCCTTGTACACCCCCCACATGAGATAACCATTGTGATTTAAGTGGCTTTCCAAAGACAGAAAGGTCAGCTTACTTCAGGAACACAGACTTCACTGTATTTACTGGTGCAGGAATGTCCACGTATGTCTGTTTCATAGGTTCCAGAAGGATATCTGTTTCTGGTGAGAAAACTCCCTCTGCCATGGCTGCGAGGGCAGCGTGTTCCTTCATCAGTTTGACTGGTTGGAGCAGAGCTGTCCTTTCATGTAAATAAGGATTATCCTACTAATCTTATTTTGCTCTCTGGCAAACCTTGACTAAGCTTTCTGAGACAGCAAACCTTGACTAAGCTTTCTGAGACAGCAAACCTTGACTAAGCTTTCTGAGACAGCAAACCTTGACTAAGCTTTCTGAGACAGCAAACCTTGACTAAGCTTTCTGAGACAGCAAACCTTGACTAAGCTTTCTGAGACAGCAAACCTTGACTAAGCTTTCTGAGACAGCAAACCTTGATTAAGCTTTCTGAGACAGCAAACCTTGACGAAGCTTTCTGAGACAGCAAACCTTGACTAAGCTTTCTGAGACAGCAAACCTTGACTAAGCTTTCTGAGACAGCAAACCTTGACGAAGCTTTCTGAGACAGCAAACCTTGACTAAGCTTTCTGAGACAGCAAACCTTGACTAAGCTTTCTGAGACAGCAAACCTTGATTAAGCTTTCTGAGACAGCAAACCTTGACTAAGCTTTCTGAGACAGCAAACCTTGACTAAGCTTTCTGAGACAGCAAACCTTGACTAAGCTTTCTGAGACAGCAAACCTTGACTAAGCTTTCTGAGACTGCAAACCTTGACTAAGCTTTCTGAGACACCAAACCTTGACTAAGCTTTCTGAGACAGCAAACCTTGACTAAGCTTTCTGAGACAGCAAACCTTGACTAAGCTTTCTGAGACAGCAAACCTTGATAAGCTTGCTGAGACAGAAAACCTTGACTAAGCTTTCTGAGACAGCAAACCTTGACTAAGCTTTCTGAGACAGCAAACCTTGACTAAGTTTTCTGAGACAGCAAACCTTGACTAAGCTTTCTGAGACAGCAAACCTTGACTAAGCTTTCTGAGACAGCAAACCTTGACTAAGCTTTCTGAGACAGCAAACCTTGACTAAGCTTTCTGAGACAGCAAACCTTGATAAGCTTTCTGAGACAGCAAACCTTGACTAAGCTTTCTGAGACAGCAAACCTTGATAAGCTTGCTGAGACAGAAAACCTTGACTAAGCTTTCTGAGACAGCAAACCTTGACTAAGCTTTCTGAGACAGCAAACCTTGACTAAGTTTTCTGAGACAGAAAACCTTGATAAGCTTTCTGAGACAGCAAACCTTGACTAAGCTTTCTGAGACAGCAAACTTTGACTAAGCTTTCTGAGACAGCAAACCTTGACTAAGCTTTCTGAAGCAGCAAACCTTGACTAAGCTTTCTGAGACAGACCTGTATTGATATTAGCAGGTTTGCTCTGTTTTGCACTTGAAATATTACATTCAAAGTGCTTAAAAACCATATAAATGAACAGAACCCATGACTCATGACAAATCATAGAAATGCAAAAATATATCAATGGTGCACAACAGGTACATGTATACTCAGATTTATTAAGATAACATGAATGAAGTGAGGTAGAAGTAAGCAGAGTTACAATGGACAAGTTTCTGTCCACAGATAGAAACCCTGATTACAGCATACATTCCCCTCCTTTCCACTGTGAGCATAGTAATATCAAAACTAAGGAAATACACATCATTCAAAAATCATCAACATGAAGGAATCAAATGTCCAATTTACCTCCCTTGGTTCATAGATCATGTCCAGCAAATTTTCATCAATGGCAACTGGCTTGAATCTGGTTTGTCTGGAAGCTGTCAACTGGACATCACACTTATTGTATCTTGACCTGAAGGTGATTTGAAGACAAAATAAAATTGCAAAAAATAAATACCTTGCAAACAAAATAGAATCATGGTCTTTTTAGGGAGAAAACTGTTAGTGAAGTCACAAAATTTGGGATATTTCTAAAGGCATAATTTTTTTTTTTTTTTTGAGAAATCTTTTAATCTTGTTGATGTAAAATGACACTGCAAACAGAAGCATTAGTAAAACCTGATGAATGCTAACCGAAAACAACTTTATTGAACAATAAGCAATAACACTATAATTAAAGAGTTGCAGTCACTAAATTTGGTACACTTCACTGCTTCTTAGTCTGGCCAATTTATGCACTAAGTTTCATTATCCAAGTTTTAATGAAGGCAAACTTAAGCTCTGGACACAAAATTTTAACAAAGGGCAATAAGTCAAAGGCCTGAAATAAAATGCTCTTCTACACTTCAGCTTTCAAAGAAGACATTGGTTGGTTCATGACATTTACAGTAAACTTGAAATCATATTCTTTATACACAAATGCCATTACTCTGAACATATTGCTTGTTGAAAAAGCATGCTACAGGCCCAGTATCAAGACCCTTAGCCTTTGGTTAGTGAGAAGAAGTTGCTTATGCATTTCAACACATTTTACACCCATGGTCTGGAAAGCAGTCAAGGTCATTCATATTAACAAACTTGGTAGCCCTTAATCCCATCATGCTACAGGCCTAATATCAGTATCCTTAGCCTTCTGATTATTGAGAAGATGTTTGAATGGAAATTTTACACACGGCGGACGATGACAGATGAAACGTGATGGCTATAGATCATCCTGACCCTTCAGGTCAGATGACTTAAAAAACAGCAATTATATGCTCCCATGAAAATTTTCTGGGAGCAAAAGAACCATGTCATTTCATGTACCTAGGCAACAGTAGAGTGTATCTGTCTAATGTCATCTAATGTGTAATTCATAGTGCAGGTCTGGAAACAATCTTAAGTAATTTGGATTTCTGTGTCAAGCACATTAAACTCTTATAGCAGAACTCTTCAACCGATACAGTTAAATCTTGTAATTTCCAACTCGTATAACTCAAAGACCTTGTTTGAATTGAAGTATTCGATCAGTTCCAGCAAAACATTCAAACTCACTTAAATAGAATACTTAAATATGCTTACCCATGGTCTAAAAAACCTTGGAGATAAGGAAGTTTGACTGTATATAACACTGAGTTAAAATTTGTGTTTCTGTTATAGCTTTGAGTCCCTCACTTTCCAATTACTAAGCAAGAGGCCCACGGGCCTTTACAGTCATTTGACTACAAAACCTTTCAGCAGGGAGAAGGGTTATTTTTCTAGTTTGAATGAACTCTTACTATGAAGCTGTTTTCCATGATGCAGATAGTAGTGAAACTTGAGAAGTTTGAAATAGGTGTGCACAGGAAAACCATGATATTGCAATCATGTTACAAAATGGCCTCCCTGCATGCCATATCGAAGTTTTGACTATGTCGAAAAATAACAACACTTTATTGGCTACCTTTCCTTAACATTCCTACCAATTTCGAGCTCAATGGCACCAGTGGAACAGGAGAAGTTTAAAAAAAATTTTCAAGATAGTAGCCATCTTGGATCTCAGACAAACCCGGAAAATAACACACTTGGTCAGGACCACCTCAGGATCATTTCATGCAAGTTTGAGCTCAATCCCACTGGTGGAACTTGAGAAGAAGTTTAAAATGTCAAAAATTTACACAGGGCACAAGGCAGACGAGGACAGATGAAGCACAATGGCCATAGGTCATCATGACCTAATATAACAGAATTTGGGATTTCTTTCTTGCTTTTTAGTTATTTAGTAACTGTTACCTTTTTGTTATTTGAAATGAAACTTATAATTATATCTGACACTAAGGTTGGATATTTAAATGAACTAGTCTCTACTGCAAAGATCAGTACAAAATCAAGTAGAAACATCACCTGGATAAGCTAGCATTTAAGCCAAATATCTTGTAACGTGTTCCCTCAGTCAACTCCATCATATCTTGTGTAGGACGCCAAACTGTCACGGTTGTCGCTTTTGCAGAAAACAGAAAAAGAAGATATGATGTAAAGTTTTGAAACTATTCACATTCTAATTTGTCAGATACTAATGTAGCGTTTAAAGATAAAATAAAGAAACAAGAGGCCCAAAGGGCTGCATTGCTCACCTAGCTAATTCAGCTATTCAGTGATTTAACAAAGAATATGACAAACAAATTTAGAAATAATTTCCCTATTGAGTTCAGGCTTTGTGATCAAACAGATTCACTATTAATAAAATTTGCTTCAAACCAAACAACACACACGTACCTAAGCATATTTTTAAGAGTTTACATCTTTCAAATTGGGTACCATCCCTTCCGCCCCAGGGGCCTGGGATCCACCAATTATACTGATACCCCTTCACCCAAGAATACTTTAGACCAAAATTAGGCAAATTCTGGTCATTCCAGCAGGAGCAAAAGGATTTAAAAGAATTTGCTCTATTAATCCTATTGGGCCTCGCATCTACTTTCCAAGGGAGCCAAGACTCTCTGTTTATACAAAATTAATTCCGCTTAGTTAAAGAATGCCTCAGACCAAATTTGGGTAAAGTCTGATCATTTCTATGGGAGGAATAGAATTTTAAAGAATTTGCTCTTTTTTCCTTTCTGGACCCCGCCTCTCCCACCCCTCACATCCCAGGGGGCGGAGACCTAACAATTGATTCCCCTTCAACCAAGAATGCTTCTGACCAAATTTGAGCAATATGCATTCATTCCTAGAAGAGAAGTATGATTTTAAAGAACATCATAATTTTTTTTCCCATTTTTGGGCCCATCCCTCAGGCACCTGGGGACTGAGAACCAATATTTATATTAACTTGGGTACTATCTGCAAAGGATGCTACAGACCAAATTTGGTCAAAATCAGTCTAGTCATTCCTGACAAGCAGTGATTTTTCGTAAAAAGTTGATAATAAGTCAATAATTTGATTAATTTCCCTTATTGATCTCAACCCTTGGGCCATTTATACAAAATTGAATCCCTCTTCCCCAAAGGATGCATTAGACTAAATTTGGTCAAAATCTGCATAATTGTTAATGATTAGGAGTGATGTACAGGAAAAGATGACAGACAATGCTACAGTATTGCAATAGCAAAGTAATTGTGATAAATCCAAAATTAAATGCAAGGTGACCACTTTTGACAAGAAAACTTCTGCGATTGCATGCTGATCTTAATATATACTTACAGGCTTTGGAATCCATATCCTTTCTGGAACAGCCAACAAATTTCATCTTCATCAATGGTATGACATTCCTTTCTGAAGTTGTCTTAAATCAAATAGAATATTGCTACTTTCTTTGGCTGTCTCATAACATTTTCTAATTAAATCACAATTTTGGCTAATTGCCTTCTAACAGATTAACATCAAGATACACCACTAACTCGGTTAAACAAACAATTAACAATATGTTGGGGTATCTGCTTTAACTATTTAACAATAAGTCTATGTCTGGAAATAAGCCTATCTACCATATTAATTGCTGCTAAGTAATAACGAAAACATGCTATTCAACTAGCCTGTAATTACCCCATCAACCAATTAGCCCATCACCTGGCTCAATTACCCGATTCCCAATTTAATAAGCATATCTCTTGATTCAATTAGTCTATCCTTTTAATCAGTTATACCTGTCACTCCCTCAATTAGCCCATCACCTGGCTCAATTTCCCATCCAATCACTTGATTAGCCCATCACCTGACTCAATTTCCCATCCAATCACTTGATTAGCCCATCACCTGACTCAATTTCCCATCCAATCACTAAATTAGCCCATCACCTGACTCCATTTCCTGTCCAATCACTTAATCAAAAAAATTAATGATAAATATGGTAACTAACCTGCCATGTTTTCTGAAATTCTGCATGTAATTTCTGCCGTTTTTCATCTTGGATTTGACGACGTCGTTCCATTAAAAGTTCTCGCTGTCTGTCACTCAGGTATTCCTATAAAGTACAAAAGTGTTGAAAATTACTTTGTCAAAAATACAATTACATAACAAAGAGAGGTAAATACTGGCAGACAGTGCCAATGGCCTTAGTTTGGATATCAGGAAGTATCTAAGGTGATCAGAGAGTAAGGGCTAACCAAGGTACCATGCTACATCAATTGCAACAAACTAGGGACTGGTTTTTTTGTGTTTATTGGTGTGGTCTTCTGGTTTTGTCCGAACATTGGGCTCCATCAAGACAGCTTGACTCAAAAAAATTTTCACCAAAAGTACTAAAATTATGGATGAGCAAGTTTTCTTTACAATGTTCATACATTTGTTTCTCACAGTCACATCATCAAGAAGGACAGGAACTGTCATAAACAATAGGTTGTATTGTGACATCATCAATAGCATCATTAAGATAGATAACTCTGACAAAAGTACTCTCTAAAAGTACTGGTTAGGCATAACAAGATCATGCAAAGCTTCTACTATTAAACAAGTTTAATTTCTATTTGTTATTTTTAATTGTTCCATACAAAGTATTGAAATAGAGAATTTCTACTAGAGTACTATCTTGATGCCTGTACAAAGCTTTTTGAGTACCATGGAATTATCTTGAACAGTTTACGAGAACTTGTCTGAAAAAACTGATATTGGTGATGAGGGTTATCTGTTTCCATGGTAACAGAAAAATAATTTACTAGGGCACTAACCTAATATATACAGAAAGTTTTGTTGAGTTGAGTAGAATGATTTTGAAGTTAAGTTGTAGCCTGGAAAGGAAAGTAAACACTAATTTTGTGTTTTTTGGCTATGTTTCTATGGTAACATTAAAATGTGAAAAAAATGAAATGTCATCAAAAGCAAAAGGCACAAGAAGGGCACTAACTTACTATATACAGAAAGTTTTGAGAAGTTGGGTTGAACAGTTTTGAAGTTATAACCCTTGGTCATTTCATACTAGTACACACTGTATCAGAACCTGATACTGTTCATATGGTGATTTGACAAAGGGCCGCACCATTGTGATATTGTTAAAAGGGAATCTTTTACACAGGATTTTCATTCTATTACCTCTATTATATCTGACTGTCCACTAGTGGAGTAGGACGCTACCTCTATTATATCTGACTGTCCACTAGTGGAGTAGGACGCTACCTCTATTATATCTGACTGTCCACTAGTGGAGTAGGACGCTACCTCTATTATATCTGACTGTCCACTAGTGGAGTAGGACGCTACCTCTATTATATCTGACTGTCCACTAGTGGAGTAGGACGCTACCTCTATTATATCTGACTGTCCACTAGTGGAGTAGGACGCTACCTCTGTTATATCTGACTGTCCACTAGTGGAGTAGGACACTACCTCTGTTATATCTGACTGTCCACTAGTGGAGTAAGACACTACCTCTATTATATTTGACTGTCCACTAGTGGAGTAGGACGCTACCTCTATTTAACTGACTGTCCACTAGTGGAGTAGGACACTGCCTCTATTATATCTGACTGTCCACTAGTGGAGTAGGACACTACCTCTATTATATCTGACTGTCCACTAGTGGAGTAGGACACTACCTCTATTATATCTGACTGTCCACTAGTGGAGTAGGACACTACCTCTATTATATCTGACTGTCCACTAGTGGAGTAGGACACTACCTCTATTATATCTGACTGTCCACTAGTGGAGTAGGACGCTACCTCTATCATATCTGACTGTCCACTAGTGGAGTAGGACACTACCTCTATTATATCTGACTGTCCACTAGTGGAGTAGGACGCTACCTCTATTATATCTGACTGTCCACTAGTGGAGTAGGACGCTACCTCTATCATATCTGACTGTCCACTAGTGGAGTAGGACGCTACCTCTATCATATCTGACTGTCCACTAGTGGAGTAGGACACTACCTCTGTTATATCTGACTGTCCACTAGTGGAGTAGGACACTACCTCTATTATATCTGGCTGTCGACTAGTGGAGAAGGCCTCATAGATCTCATGGCCAGACTGCAGAAGCTCCACTTCCCGTTTTGTCCACTTCTTATTAGATGTACACTTTTCTGGAAATACAATGGTAGAAGTAATGTTACTGTCAATATAGACTTACAAGTGAAATTACCTTATGAATCTACCTGATAAAGAATATGATTTTTTTGTTCCATTTATTTGTCATAAATATATTTTAATTCATCAATTCTGAAATGTATTGATTTGTGGCTAAAATAATCCAACACATCCCTTTCTATAACACACTAAATCTGACTAGCAGAGACACCCTTCACAAGCCTCTCAATAACAATGATAACTTCTTTCTATACTGGTACCTACCCTCCACATCTTCCAGTTCAAACTCTTTCTGTAGTTTAGCATAAAGCTTCTCCATCTCATCTTGGCGGTGTTGCTGGTATTTATGCTGAATTCTATCCTCTGCCTGACCAGTTCTAAACACACAGCCACCCTCACTGAGCTTCTCCATGTACTGACAACATTGAGTTAACATTGTACTTGCAACATTGACTTTATACTGTACTGGCAACATTGATCAACAATGAGTTTGTATTGTACTGGCATCATTGAATTTATATCGCATGGGCAACATTGAGTTTTTATTGCACAGGCAACATGGAGTTTATATTGTACTGGCACAACATTGAATTGACATTGTACTAACAACATGAAGTTTACATTGTACAGGAAACATTGAAATTATGTTGCATGGGTAACATTGAGTTTATATTATACTGGTAACAACACAGAGTTTATTTTGTACTGGTAACAACACAGAGTTTATTTTGTACTGGTAACAACACAGAGTTTATTTTGTACTGGTAACAACACAGAGTTTATATTATACTGGTAACAACACAGAGTTTATTTTGTACTGGTAACAACACAGAGTTTATATTATACTGGTAACAACACAGAGTTTATTTTGTACTGGTAACAACACAGAGTTTATTTTGTACTGGTAACAACACAGAGTTTATTTTGTACTGGTAACAACACAGAGTTTATTTTGTACTGGCAACAACACAGAGTTTACATTTTACTGACAGAATTAAGTTTACAATGTAGACATCTTCACTTACTTTATAATCATGGCATAAATAATGTAATGACAATTTTTTCATTAAGTTTCAAAAATATGAAAATTGATTACCACAAAAATATATGGTTTCACCTTCCTGGAATTAATGATAAATACAGTGAATTCTATAATAAATTGTAGTTATCAGAACTAAATGACTGTAAAACAAGAAATCTTTACAGTGAATCAAGATAAAGTTATCTTCCTGGATGGTATGGGTTACAAAAATTTCAAAGAAATCTTTTATATATATTTTATAAGTTCCAAGAGATAACAAATATTGGCTAAACATATCAACAAAATTTGAAAATTTAGATGTAATGAGTAGATGGCATACACACTGATCAACAGAAAATTTAAATGTAATGAGTAGATGGCATACACACTGATCAACAGAAAATTTAGATGTAATGAGTAGATGGCATACACACTGATCAACAGAAAATTTAGATGTAATGAGTAGATGGCATACACACTTATCAACAGAAAATTTAGATGTAATGAGTAGATGGCATACACACTTATCAACAGAAAATTTAGATGTAATGAGTAGATGGCATACACACTTATCAACAGAAAAATTACAAAGATCATCAGATGCATGGTTTTATGAATAAATATGAAGTTTTACCATTTGGGGATATTTCCTAGCAAGTACAACATCTAAACAGCCAACAGCCCCACCATCTCCATAAAGACCAGACAGGGGAATACAGAGGGGGCTGGGGTCCATCTGGTATCCCAACCGTGCATCCCATGGAGCTGGACGAGTTGAATTTGCATTCAGTTTCAGCATCAGGGAGACTGGTGCCTAAATAGTAAGATAGATATAACTAAAAGGATATTACTATTGTATTTTTTTTTCTTTTGCCAATGAAATAGAATATTTTCCTTATTTACCAAACAAAGATCTCCAATGATGAGTCAGTCATTGCCAAACAGAGAATATTTCAATTCTTAATTTTTTATCTGACTTCCATCAAATGTAGGAGAGAATTTAAATACCAACCTCGAGTGGTGTACAGGCATCTTGAGAACCTACAAGTTCAGCTCCACTGATACAGAGTTTGTCTCCCACATTTATCCTGTGTTTACTGACCAGGTCAGTCAGAGGGACATCAAATTTGGCCACTATGCTGTACCAACCATCTGTCAGCTCTACGCAAGTCTATAATGAAAGGCAGTAAAATCCAGGAAGTGAAATATTATCAAGTGACACATACACAGTTAAACAAACACCCTACCCCAAAATTCAAAACCTCTTTGACGACAATACATAACAAAAGAAGGCATTTCATTTTAGGAAAATTTTTCTATGCATTCAACTTTGAATATTAGAATTTAATCATCATGACTCTTTTCTAGAAACTGAAGTTTTTAAGGAACATTTGACTGTCTTACACCCTGGATGTACCTGTGATTCTGACTTGTCCATAGACAATGCTTGTTTGTCTCCCTTGACTGCTTGATTTGGTGTGTTGTCTCCCTTGACTGACTGATTTACTGTGTTATCTCCCTTGACGGTCTGTATTGATGAGATATCAGGTTGACTAGGCTGTGACAGTTGATTGATACTAGAGACACACAAGACCATCCTTTTACTGGCCGTATCATCTCGCTCCATGATCTTCTTTAAGGCTGACCTACAAACATATCAACCACAAATTTGTAATGGCTAGTAACTACATTTGCTAGATTGCAGTTTCCCTTTATTATATTGCAATAAAATTTGTAAAGAAATAACTACATTATCACAGAAAAAAAATAGTTCATAAACTTTACTTTCTCTGTTCTTCATCTCTGTATTTAAGTTACTGATTTCATTGAATTGGTTACATCTTCAGTGGTAGACCTACTTACCTGAAGCTACTGTAACACACAGTAAAACATACCTGTCTGATGCTACAAAATGGTTTAATCATTTCCTCATACTTCATAACGATGTTACGTTACTGATAAACATAAAATGTTGACATGTTATCAATTCATACAAAATAAATAAAAAAAATACAGATAATTACACCCAATTCCTTAACAGAAAAAAGATCTGACAGAAAACTACCAACCTTTGACAATTATCAATTTCACGATCATATCTGTACTTCATTTGAAGCATGACAACTTCTGGTGTAAGAGCTCTGAAACAAAAATGTAATTTTTTTCTTCACATAAATATATTAGGTATGTGATAAATATATATATTACCCACTTGATAAAATATAAATGTAATTCATCAAGAAAAAAAAATATACTCTATAAATTGGATTTATATATCTCTACAAGTATCAGTCACTTTTGTACAATTTTGTGTTAATAGTTAATGAATAGAACTCCCAATATTCCAATCAAGGTTCTACTAGTTGATCCTGAGTTAAAATGGACAAGGTGACAGACACACATAGTTACACATAATTCATGGACAATTTATAACATGAAACATACAAGGATATTATTGAATACAATAACAAGTTAAGTCAAACACTGAATTCTCTCACTTGCAATTGGTACAGATGAGAGTTCCTGAAATTTTGATGGTTTGATGGCATGTATAATTAGAAAAATTGGATACTTCTACCCAATGTCTAACTCTGCTGAATCCTATTATCTATAACAGCTGAGAGGAATCTGTTGGTTTGAAAGTGTAAAGACAAAAAGATAACAACATAATCTACAACAAACGCTTGAAACTATTACCTTCCAGCAAAATTTTGAGGTGAAGTCACTTCATAGGCAGCAAGTTTCCACACTAACCATCGATAGTGGTTGTAGAACCAAACATCAGAGATCAGTCGACAGTCCACTCCTACAAGAGTGCTGAATGCCCTGTAACACATTGTACAAAAGTATCTTTATTAAAATGCAGTGTTTCTTCAAGTTTTATATCTTATAAATTAACAAAATGCCATTAACATACAACTTGCTATCTAAAATCTTGAATTATTTGTTAAAGCTTTTGGGTGTTGTTTAAATTTTAACTTCAAAACTATGAACTGATCAAAGGTATTAAATTTCTCAACATCATATTGATTTTGTTAAGAGTTATAAACAAAGTGAAAAGGGGATCACTTAGATACATTTCTAATCCCTTGGTCTCAAATAAATATCTCCTGATGTTCATTAGATATCATTTGCACTAATTTTTTTTATATCTAATGTTGTCATGTGTGACCTTTGGCCCTTTAACCATGGAACTGGAAGATGACCACCAAAAACCTAATCTGGAGTAAAACTTGATGATGTCATGTTATGGTGTGACTATGAACTGCATTTAATTGAAAGACTTATGATATATCTTGTACACATGTTTTGTGCTGTTGACACATGCATACAGAAATTGTGATTACCACATAACCCCTCTTTAATAAGTTGTGGGTATAACAGAGTTGCTATGGCGATATTATTGAAACAGAACAGGCTGGAACATACATTAGTAAGACTTTATGCTTCTTGTCTCAATAAATTAAATTTTTGGGAGATACAAGTGTTTGTCTAGATTAAAAGAAAATTATGTATGTTTGTTCCTTACCTAAAAAACTCATCCTTGCCAGCGCAAAGTTTGTCATCAGGGACAAGATAGGCACCATCACCTACATACACAAAGCCTTGAAAGTTTGTGTAGAAGTCTGGCAGATGAAACTTGTACTGAACAGCTGTAGTAGACTGAACATCTCTAAGCCACAGACTTGAATAGTGTTGCTGGAAAAGAACCCGTATAAACAAATACAAACCTAAGATTTCTCATTTATTATCACCATGGTAACTGAAATCTGTATGGAAGAGACTTATTTTAGATTTGACTGGTGACGATTCACCTGACATCTGCCTGGTAGGGACTTGATAGTTGGTAATTTACCTTAGATCTGCCTGGTAGGGACTTGATAGTTGGTAATTTACCTCAGATCTGCCTGGTAGGGACTTGATAGTTGGTAATTTACCTCAGATCTGCCTGGTAGGGACTTGATAGTTGGTAATTTACCTGAGATCTGCCTGGTAGGGACTTGATGGTTGGTAATTTACCTTAGATCTGCCTGGTAGGGACTTGATGGTTGGTAATTTACCTTAGATCTGCCTGGTAGGGACTTGATGGTTGGTAATTTACCTTAGATCTGCCTGGTAGGGACCTGATGGTTGGTAATTTACCTGACATCTGCCTGGTAGGGACTTGATAGTTGGTAATTTACCTTAGATCTGCCTGGTAGGGACTTGATAGTTGGTAATTTACCTGACATCTGCATGGTAGGGACTTGATAGTTGGTAATTTACCTGAGATCTGCCTGGTAGGGACTTGATAGTTGGTAATTTACCTTAGATCTGCCTGGTAGGGACTTGATAGTTGGTAATTTATCTTCGATCTCCCTGGCAGGGACTTGATAGTTGGTAATTTACCTGAGATCTGCCTGGTAGGGACTTGATAGTTGGTAATTTACCTGAGATCTGCCTGGTAGGGACTTGATAGTTGGTAATTTACCTGAGATCAGGCCTGGAAGTGACTTGATAGTTGGTAATTTACCTGAAATCTGCCTGGTTGGGACTTGATAGTTGGTAATTTACCTGACATCTGCCTGGTAGGGACTTGATAGTTGGTAATTTACCTGACATCTGCCTGGAAGGGACTTGATAGTTGGTAATTTACCTGACATCTGCCTGGTAGGGACTTGATAGTTGGTAATTTACCTGAGATCTGCCTACATATCTGGTGTGTAGCTTTATCACATCCCTCATTTTTAGTCTCCTATTGCCTTGCTTCACACTGTAAAGTCGTCCAGGATCAGGACTGATTTTGGATTTCTTCTTATCCTGCAGTAATTCAGTCTGATGTTTTCTTGCTCTCTCTAACAATTCTGCCATATCTGTTTGAACTGATTTCTCTTCCTCTTTAGTGTCTGTTTGAATCTCTGATGGACATTTCTGACTGAATGAAGGACTTGCCATGGATTGGGATTTCATCAGATCAGGACGGTGAACAGACAGACATTTCGGTATAAACTTTGGCACTTGTTTACAAGGAGTCTGTGTTGATGAAGATGGTGCTGGGTTGGAGTCAGTTCCTGTTACATTGGTGTCAGGTTTTTTGTATGGGGTCGAGAAGGACGACTTGAGAGTGGTCTGTGGCCCATTGTTTAATGATATACTGTAAAATGTCAAATGATTTTATGTTTTCATTTCATATTTGTTGACTTGTGAATACCATTATCAAGATGAACAAACGATTGCCGTAAAAATAATAATTTGACAAATAGAAAGTAGGTGTTTAATGGATTTAAATAAATCCAATGAGATAAAACAGAAGTCAATACCATTTTTAAATTTCTGAGAAGAACTATTATCTGTTTATAATGATGTCTGAAATGTCAGATTTGGCATCATCTATTATTTACTTTATAAATTCTAGGGTCATTACAAAGGATAAACTATGCCTAAACAGAAATCATAGTAGAATATTTACCAACCATTTTAAGATGTCTACAACACACATTATGATATACACAGAACACTGCAAGGTCTGTAAGGTTGACTTGAAGGGACCAGTACAATGTGATATGACACTGTAAACAAAGTTTCCATGTAACCTATCAATATGTTTCAACTCTGACCTTGACTCCTGGGAGGTAGCGGATGTACTGTGGTAGGGACGCAGAGAACAGCTTGTACCTTGTCTATCTCTAGTAAATGCTACAAAAGAATGTATATATTAAGACTACTATAGCTAATAAACACATTATATACTACAACTTGTATATAATATTTTACTCTTTCTCATTAAGAAATATCTGTCAAATTTTACTTTTTTTATGTACCACAAATTGTTACCTCCCTTGAAAATTAAATTCCAAAACAATTTATGAAATGTGACTTTAATCAATATTAGTTCTTTAGAATAAAGAAATATTGTACACATCTTACCCTCTGGTACACACTTCATCGGTGTCACTATTCCAGCTCTCCTGGTGACTGCTTTTTCTGAAACTATTTTTTAAAACTTTTATGTTACAGGTATGGTTTTGGTATTTACATTTTTAAACTTTTATGTTACAGGTATGGTTTTGGTATTCACATTTTTAAACTTTTATGTTACAGGTATGGTTTTGGTATTCACATTTTTAAACTTTTATGTTACAGGTATGGTTTTGGTATTCGCATTTTTAAAATCAAACTTCAGATTTGAATTAACAGGTTATTTTTGTCTTTGTAGCATTATACAAAAATTCACCTCATGTTCATTTCAGTCTCTGAGTGTTATATAATTATTGTGTTAAAAAGCAATGAATTATATATAGACTATGAAATGCCATGAACACAAAGAATGGTCTAGGGCCAAACTGCCAGAGCATGGAACACATCATATCTTAGCAGTTCAGCAGTGAAGACTGGCAAGCATTGTGATGTACCACAGCACAACACCATCAGGACGAGCTGATTCACCTACTGGCAGACTGGCAGCAATCACAACAATCACAACATTAGTGAAACAAACTTTTGCTGGCATCTTAAATGTACCCTATCTGTTCATGGACAAAAAATGCAAAATTTTAACTGGGACAAAAATTTCCCCATATGCAATATACAAGGTAGTTTAAATTCCTTTATAAATGCGATTATGTTAACAACAGAAGACAGGGACTAAACAAAATCCTTTTTTTCCTTCTATATTTAACAAGGTGGCTTTGTTTGGATGAATTGCTTCATCTAATTCAAAAGAAAATGTTTATATTAATTCTGTCACTAGAGGGTCAGCAAAAGAATTCAGACTAAACTCTCATTTACCCAAAAATGCTTCAGATCAAATTGGCAACATGCTATCAAGGACATCCAGTAAACAAGTGCATGACTACCCCCGTACAGAAAACAAGGGTGTTAATCAACCTGTGACTCCCATCTGCCCCATGGGGCTGAGACCCACTTTTTATACAAAATTGATTTCCCTTTACCCAACCCAACTATTCAGAACAAATTTGGACAAACTCCAAACACTCCAATTTCCTCTGTTGGTCCCACCCCTGCCATTCCAGGAAAGTGAGACCAACCATTTATACAAAACTAATTCAAGTTCAACAAGAAAGGCTCCATACCAAATATGGACAAAGTTCAATACTTTCTACAAGAGGAGTAGGATTTTACAGAATTAACAGTATGGCATAATAACTGACCTTCCAGTTCCCTATATCTGAATGCTTTGTTCATTGGGTTTGTCACCCCATGATCTCCTTTCAGTAGCTGGCAGCTTTCTCACAAAATAACATGAGGAAGGCCCATTTCATGCAATCCTGCACAACTGGGGCAAAGTGTCTTGCTCAAGGACACAACCTCTCAGCTTCCTGTGAAACACTAACCACCAAGGGTAGAGAGCGTCAAACTACACATCTCATACCTTCACCTAAGCTTACATAGGCCTACCCTCCAAACAACAGTGCTATTTAGGCCTCACAAATTAACTTGTAACTCACCTTCCACCCTTCTACGTTTTGGAGTGACTTCCATTTCCTCTAAGAAATCATCCGGTTGACAGAACTCTTCTAAGCTGTGTTCCATCCCTTGTATGAACACTTGTCGGTCACTGTGTCCCATATATGGTGATCCCTCTGTGCCCTGTCGACGAGGTCTGGTTGTGCCTCCATGCTGCTTCTGCTTAAGAGGCGTAATCTTGTTTTCAGTAGGGGCAGACTGTTTGCCTTCGACAGTAGGACCTTCTTTTATCAACTGATATTTCAACTTAGGTCCTTTATTCAATTTTTCAGTTTGCTGTACAGAAATGGGATACCTATCACAGCTTCCATTTCTGACACCAATACAAGAAGTAAGTTCATGGTCCTCTTTGGTTTTTCTAACATGCTGTAATGAACTTTCAGATATAGTGATTTTATTACCTGTAGCAGTTTGAAAGGGAGAGCTGTGTGCAGAACTGGGTGACTTTTTGAAAGAATGAAGAGAACTGTTACCACAATTATATTTAGTTTCCAAGCTTCTTATAGACGGTGAAGTATCCAACAAAGGTGAATTTCCAATATCTTCCAAGGCATTCCTTGCATGTTCAAGAGCATTTTCAGATATGTTCACTTTTTTCCCTGAAGCACTCTGGAAAAGCATATTTTGAACATCTTCCATGCTTTTCCTAGCATGTTCAAGAGAACTTTCTGATACATTCACTTTTTTCCCAGATGCACTCAAGAATAGTGAATTTCCAACATCTTCCATGCTTTTCCTAGCATGTTCAAGAGAACTTTCTGATACATTCATTTTTTTCCCTGATGCACTCAAGAATGGGGAATTTCCAACATCTTCCATGCTTTTCCTGGCATGTTCAAGAGAACTTTCTGATACAATCACTTTTTTCCCTGACGCACTCAAGAATGGTGAATTTCCAACATCATCCATGATTTTCCTTGCATGTTCAAGAGCTTTCTCAGATATGCTTACATTTTGTCCCGAAGCACTTAAGAATGGAGAGTTGTCAACATTTTTCCTAATTTCCTGTGCATGTTCATGTGCATTTTCTAATAAATTTATGTCATCCTTGAAAGTGCTTTGTGCCAAAGAACATCCATCATCATCATCATCATCATCATCCATTTTTGCATTGATAAAAGTACTCTCTGATTTGTCAGTATATTTTCCTGATTCTGTTTGAACTTTATCACAAGTCTCTGAAATACAAGGAGACTTTGTCATTTCTATTTTTGATGAAATTGAGTCACCACCTTCAACTCTTGTGGAATCATAGTGTGACTCATCCTGAGAAAAGTCATATTGAGAATTCATTACTTCTTGAAGAGAAAAATGATCATTTTGTAGACATGAACCAACATCTTTTTCTTCTTCTCTAACAATTTTTTTAAAAGCAGGTTTTGTTTTTCCTGTGAAGTGATGGAAACTGTCAAATTCTGGAACAGTCCATTCTCCCTCTTTTACATCACTGTTATCACCAGAAAAAGTCACATCCTCATAAATATCTTTGTTACTTGTTGTCACACTAGATTTATCTCCCTTTGAATCCACTTTCCTGTCTCCAGGTGTTGAACTATTTATATCTGTGGACCATTCTCTCATGTTCTGTCTAGCTTTTACTAATGCGTCATCAGAGACACTAATTTTCTTCCCTGAAGCACTATGAAATCCTTTTAATTCAGGAAATATCTGTTGACCATCACATCCCTCATTAACTGTTTGTGTTTCACCATGTAGCGATTCTTCATTGATCTCAGAACTCCAGTTATAGAGACTTTGTCTGGCTTTTATCAATGCGTCTTCTGATATGTGTACCATTTTACCTGAGGCACTTTGAAATCCTCCCAATTCTACTGTTTGTTGATTCAATGATTTGATTAAGTCCTTTTTTGGTTCCGTATTTTGACTCTCATTAGTAAATTTTGACGACAGTGGTAAATGGGTTGTTTTCCAAGGTTCATCAGAAGCTGTAAATTCTTTACTTACTACACACCTAAGTCCTTCAGAATCCACATTTTTGTCAACATCTTCGGTTTCTGTTTCTTCATTTGACACAACCACTTTAGAAACAGAGTGTGTTTTTATGGAACTTTGGAATCCTGTATCACCAGTTTGCTGTTTAGAATGTTCTTTTTGTGAATGTTCCTCAGTGGTTTCAGTAGACACACCTATTGTTTTAGGTTGTTTTACCTGTTGATTCGCTTCTTCAGAAAAACCCACACATTTTCCTGATGCACTTTGAAAGACTGAGAAAACAGTGTGCTTTACAGGTAATTGGGTTTTCACTTGTGCTGTAGAGTTATCACACATCACCATGTCCTCCATGTCCAGAAAGTGTTCATATTCTTCTGAAGGTAGTACTTCTGGTCTCTGATTTTTGTTACCAGGCAATAAAGATGGCAGTACCTCTGGTCCCTGATCTTTGTTACCAGGCAATAAAGATGGCGGTACCTCTGGTCCCTGATCTTTGTTACCAGGCAATAAAGATGGCAGTACTTCTGGTCCCTGGTTTTTGTTACCAGGCAATAAAGATGGCAGTACCTCTGGTCCCTGATCCTTGTTACCAGGCAATAAAGATGGCAGTACCTCTGGTCCCTGATCTTTGTTACCAGGCAATAAAGATGGCAGTACTTCTGGTCCCTGGTTACAAGATGATAAAGAGGACTGAAGGTTTAGTCTGAATGAGTGCTGCACCTCTGGTCCCTGGTCTTGGTTACCTGGTTTCAATGAAGGCTGTACCTCTGGTTCCTGCTCCTGGTTACCAGGTTCCAGTGAGGGCTGTACCTCTGGTTCCTGCTCCTGGTTACAAGGTTCCAGTGAGGGCTGTACCTCTGATCCCTGGTCCTGGTTACCAGGTTTCAGTGAGGTCTGTACCTCTGATCCCTGCTCCTGGTTACCAGGTTCCAGTGAGGGCTGTACCTTTGGTTCCTGCTCCTGGTTACCAGGTTCCAGTGAGGGCTGTACCTCTGGTTCCTGCTCCTGGTTACCAGGTTCCAGTGAGGGCTGTACCTTTGGTTCCTGCTCCTGGTTACCAGGTTCCAGTGAGGTCTGTACCTCTGGTTCCTGCTCCTGGTTACCAGGTTCCAGTGAGGGCTGTACCTCTGGTTCCTGCTCCTGGTTACCAGGTTCCAGTGAGGGCTGTACCTCTGATCCATGGTCCTGGTTACCAGGTTTCAGTGAGGTCTGTACCTCCAATCCCTGGTCCTGGTTACCAAGTTCCAGTGAGGGCTGTACCTCTGATCCCTTGTCCTGGCTACCAAGTTTTAACATCTGTAGTGACCCTGGTCTCTGGTCTTGGTTACCAGATGACGAAGAGGGCAGTATCTGCAGCTCCTGGTCTTGATTACCAGATGTCAATGAGAGCAGTACATCTGACCTCTGCTCCCGGGTATTTAATATTGAAGAAGGCAGTATCCCTAGTCCCTGGTCTTGGTTCTCTGGTGTTGTACTATATTTCTGTGACCTTAAAACTTTACCAGATCCTGGACTGAAATGTTGAGATGATTCAAGCTCCCCTGAAAATAATTCATCCATTATTGATGAATCAATGTCCTGATCAGCATTTTGTGCCTTAAATTCTGGTGAAATGTTTCTGCTATTACCTACAGTGGAAATGCTGTCTTTCTGAGGTTCAACTTTGTTTTCCTGTGATATTTGTAGGACGCTGCTACAGCATCCATCAATAGCACCAAGGTTTATTTTCTGAATTCCAACACCATCTTTCTTGGACAGATGTGAAATGTCTTTGCCTGCATCAGTATCAAAGGTAGTTGTCCCAGATATACCTCCACATTTATCTTCTGATGAACTAAATGGTACATCATCACTTTTTGAAATAACAGTTAATGTCTTGTCTATGACCTTGTTTGACATATCCACACACTGCCTGTCATTTGACTTTGCTATATTTGGCTTCTTTGTGATTTTTGGTGGTTTAAATGGTCGGAACCCTTTTGGAATGTTAGCTCCAGGGGGAAATCGTGAGGAACTTTTCCTATTAATGTTTGTTTGCAAACTCTTGTCCTTGATTATAGTGGATCCTGACCTTTTTTTAGGATTTAGGATGTCTAGCATTGTTGAAGTACATCCTTCCTCAAAGTGAACAAGTTCTCCTCTTCTATTTTGACCTTCCACAGATTCTTTATTGTTACCAAATAATGCAGAATTTTCTATTCCTTCCTCTGTGTCAACTTTACGTATCACAGACACACCTTTACTAATACTAGCTTCACTGATCTGTACTTGTTTACCTCCAGCAGTTTGAAATCCGCAGGAGTCACTTCCAGACTTTTCATACTGATCATGAAAAGATCCATTGTCTGTATTATCTACGTTTGATATGATGGACATTGCTTTTCTCAAACTGCTATCACTAAGTTTGAGTTTCTTTCCACCAGCAGTACTGAATCCTCCTAATCCATCAGCAGTGCTGAATCCTCCTAATCCATCAGCAGTGCTGAATCCTCCTAATTCATCAGCAGTGCTGAATCCTCCTAATCCATCAGCAGTGCTGAATCCTCCTAATCCATCAGCAGTGCTGAATTCTTTTAACTCACCAGTTGTGTTGCGTCCTTTTAAACCACCAGCCATGCTGAATCCACGTTGCTCTTTAACCTTTCTATCCTCTGTTAATTTATCTCTATTTGCTATGAGATCAGTGCTACGTTCCAATTCACGGACTCCTGTTATTTGGTTTGAATTATCTGTCATGGCTGAATCTACATCAACAACTAGAGACATTGCTTTCCTCAAACTGGCATCACTAAGTTTCAGCTTCCTTCCAGCAGCAGTACTGAACCCTCCAAATTCACCAGCACTGCTGAATATTTCTGATTTACTCCCAGTTGCAGTACCAGCAATGCTGATATCAGATTTATCTGTTGGATCTCCGATGTCTCTCTTTGATGAATCTGTAACATCTCCATCAACATCTGCAACTAGCGACATTGCCTTTTTCAAGCTTGAACAACTAAGTTTTAGCTTTTTTCCTCCAGCAGTACTGAATCCCCCGAACCCACTTATGGTGGATATGCCTGCTAACTCAGCAGTATCGCTGTAGTCTCCATCTAATATATCCTTTGGTGTAACAGTTTTCTCCATGTCGCCTACAAATAATACTGGTTTAATCAAACTTGAACCACTAAGTTTCCACCTCTTAGCAGTAGCTGTACTTATTTTTGTCACTTCATTAATGTCTTCTAAACCACTCTTCATTCCTTTGCTTGTATCAGCATCAAGCAAATCACTCTTTTTCACACCAGAATCAATAGTTCTGTGTTTCTCTCCATCTTTATCAGTAAATCCAAGCTTTCCATTCATCACTTCATATTTTGATACGGTGTCCATTTCTTTATCCATCTCAATGAATAATGCCTTGGGTATTTCCGGACTTGAATCCCTGAAATGTTGAAATTTCTGACTGACAGTACTTAACTCCACTGCTGATTTACCATCATCCTTCTGTCTACCACACACCTCTGGTACCATTTCCTCGTCAGAACAAGTTTCTGTTGAAAGATGAACTTCAACTTCTTTATCATCTGTCAAAATATGTGTAGCATTTTTTTTCACGGGGTCAACGCTCCTCAGCTCAGACTTACTTCCACCATCGGAAATCAATCTCAGATGTCTGCCAGATGACTCTATGGTACTGTCAGCTAGTGTTTTTCTCTCCTCCATATCTGAACCCTTCCTCCCTACTTGGCTCACTTTTGGCTTGCAACCAGACATACCTGCTCTTTTAAACTTTCCTGAATCACAGAATGATTTTTCATTTGAACTTTTTCCACATGATAAGGAGTCTTTATCAACTCTATTTTCCATTCCAGCTGTGGTCAGATGGACATTTTCTTTGATAGACTCATCATCTTTAACAACTTTCCTGATGTCTTTCAATGAATCTTTAACCTCTTCAGTGCTCCCTGGAAATGACCAGCTGGTTGGTGGATAATTGGTGTCTACATCATCAAGTAATGCTGTTGCCTTCTTTAAACTTGTATCACTGAGTTGTACATGTTTTCCAGCAGCAGTTGTGAATCCTTTATGAATGATATCAGTGTGACATGTATGAAAACTTCTATCTTCTTGTTCATGGTTCCCAGAATTACATTCTGCCTCAGAACTAACTGAATTCCCGGCAACATTCTTGGCATTCAAATCCGAATGTAGTTCTGAAAATTTCATCACAGATATCGCTATTTCCAATTTGGAATTTTTCAAAAGTTTTTCATTTCTTCTTGTTTGAAATCCTTCTGAATGATCGAAAGTTTTTTGGAATGAAGAGAGCTTAGAGACCTCTGGTGAACTCCCAGACATCAAAACATTTTCAGGCATGTCTTCTAAATCAACACAACTATCTTGAACAGACCCTTTTGCTCCTTGTTGATTTACACCAGCAATATTTGAGTTTTGTGTTGAGACAGCTGACGCAGTCTTGCCTTGACAGCTGATGGCTGCATCAGAATTAGTAAATGTTCGTCTAGGCAGCTTTGTCTTGTCTTTGTTATGAATTTCCTTCACACTAAACATGTTTTTGTCCTCCAGTGATCTCTCCATTTCCAGAGAGTCATCTGTAATACCCGTATCAGACTCTACACAGATAAACAATTGTTTGGCTTTATGTAATCCCTCCTCACTAAATGTCATAGCCTTTCCACTTGCCGAGGAAAATCCAGTACATTTAGCAAGACTCTTGGATCCTTCTCGTATCTCATGATTTCCATCACTATTTTCAAGATTGCTGATATTTCTGTCATCTGTTGTTTTCTTAACTGTATGATGCAGCATATTTGGTGATGAACTTTCACTTTCTACATGGTTGATCTTATGTTTTCTACTTTCATTGAGGATTATCTGGCTTGAATCTTTCTGTTTTTGAATCATTTCTGTCTTAACACATTCACAGCTTATTTGTTTTTTATTCTCAGAAATATCTGTTTTGATTTTAGTATCTTCAGATTCAGAACTTTGTGACTTGTATGAATCTTTCTTTACATGAGCTTCAGAATCAGACAGCACTTTATGTATTAGTGGTGTTTTCCATTCTGAAGACTGAACATCACCATTTTCTGGTTGCCCTTTTCTTTGTTTTTCTTCTGTGTTTCCCACTTGGACAGCTTTAGTGAGCAGTACGTCTGGTTGTGATATATATTCATCATTGCAAACATCAGAATGGTCCGTCACCAAAGCATTCTTTCTACTGTTTGCAAGAGAGGAGAAACTTTTAAACCCTGTGGAATAAACAATTTACTTCATCATTCAAAGAATGGATGTATACCAAATAATTAAAATTTGCATGGAAATTTGTTTAGTGTAAAGGGAATTAGTACAATATATTCTCTCTTGTAAAATTGAATAAATCCAGAGTTTAACACATTATATTTAACCTACAGTAATGGAGTGGACTTATCACAGGACAATCAGATATCTTATTTATCATATATTATTAAAATCTGCAATCCAAGCATGGACTTATTGCAAGATAAACACCACATTGATCATGTGACCAAACTTTCACCGTCTGTTTTACACTATGGTGTAGAATCAGTTAACAAAATTACATCAGTAGATATATTCTCATAAACCTATAGCAGTTCATCAACATAAAGACATCAAAATCTTATGTGTTCACTCAGAAACAGACATAAAACAACTGATGCTTTAAATGAAAATCACTTGAACAAGACTCCTAGTGCCCATGTCAACATACTACACTGTAACTACAGTGTAATGAATCACACCTGACTGAAAAAGGCAGTCTTAAGCTAATAATATCATTTTGGCTTTGAAAACCATGTATCTGCAAATTACAGCCTACCAGATCATGATATACACATGCAATTTTTTTCATTCTTAAATAATAACGAAATATATCTATCCACAAACAAGTCCCTGCCCAACAATAAGCCCCCTTTTGCAGAATCATCTATTCAAATTTTAAAATAGTAAGCAAAAATTAGTTTGCAAATAAGCCTTTCAAAAACTAAATACTGAACTTTTATATGAGAAGAGGGGGCTTGTTTGAAGATGAATATAGCATGTAACAGTTTTATTACATAGCTGCTACACAACAATGACTCTATGTGGCTAATATATAAAAACTATCTCTATGACCTACCAATATTTTTATGGGATTTTCTGTGGAGGTCAGGCCATTCCTGTTTTTGGCTTTTATCACTTCTTTCTTCCAAAGCTGATTTAGTAGCAGATGTTTGGACAAGCACAGTGCCTTGTAGTGTATCTCTGTCAACCAAAGGTCTTGTATCCATTGTCGATCTTCTGCTTTTCTCTGACAGTTCAGAAAATCCATAAACAGATTTAGGACACGACTTACTGATCTGATTTGTTGATGGGTACAGAAACTTTCTGGGCTTTGTTTTCAGACTGAGGGATCCTCTCAAACACTTAAGTCTTGAATAGTCAGGATCAATCCTTTGTAATGAGTCCTCTTTTTTGTCAACATGAAGCGTAACCTTGTTTTCATCTTCAGATTTTATTAAAGGTGAAGTCGTATACACCCTATTCTCATCTTTAATTTTCATTAAAGATAAAGTCACATCCTCCTTATCTTCAGTTTTAACATCCTCCATAACTTCAGTTTTCACAGAAACAGGTTTATCATCAGCCTTTAATTTGAGGTCAGGTTTAGCTTTTTCTGAGCCGGCTTCTAAGTTAGATTTCTGTGTTTTACTGCTTTTGTCTACTAAAGTGACAACAGAACACATTTCATTCAAAACACTCGGGGACACTTGAGAGAAAAGTTCATCACAAAATTCAATGTCAAAATCTTTTCTGGGAGATCTGTCTATACACACATTTTCTGATGTCAAATCATGTGATGCTGAATCTTGCTTTGAAATGCTTCGAGTAAAAGTATCGTTATCACTTTCAAAGTCCTCAACAGAATTTGTGTCATCAGTGGGCAGAGTTTGAATGATAATGTCTGGTGACACATACTCTTCATCATCCAGCTGTGTAAGATTTCGCTTTAATGATGTTTTTTCCTCCAAACAAAATGTTACTTTTTTGTTACTTTTAACTTCAGACCCTTCAGTTGTCTTTTTCTTGCTAGAGAGGATTGACTTGAGAGTCCTTCGAGTATTGATTGGAGTAGAACAGTTTCCCGAACTACCATCCTCCTGACTTATGGAGTGTTTTCTTTGGCAGCTATTTAAAGATGCTGAATAAGTATTCTCTTCTGTAAATTCATTTTTTATCGTGATTTTATTTTCTGTTATGTTCTCATCTTCTTCGTTTTGCACCTGTGCCATGTTTCGATAATTTTCTCCATTTTCACAAGATAACAAAGCCATTTTCATTTTTTTACTTTGTGTTACATTAATGCTAGATTCATTATCACTGCATACTTCTAAACTTAAACTATCAACCAGTTTTCTTTTCTTGCCTTTCCTAGGAGCACATCTTCTTCTACCAACTGCACTTGATGGTGGGTCAAAAAAGTCCGACAAAGCCTCAGACACACCTTTCTCTAAGCTCTCTCCTGTGGTTTTGGATATGTCATTTCCTGGTTGGTCATGCTGAGTACTGATTTCTGCCAAATAAACTTGCTTCTGACTGTCTTCAGCATCACCATCCACATATAAATCTTGTGAAAACAAAGGCATGCTGTATTCTTCATCATTACTGGTAACAATACTGGTGCTTTCTTTTAAAGCATTTTTACCAAAATTTGGAGATGACTTGAACTTTGCATTCAATTTGATTTCAGAATTGGCTGCTGAAAAATGTTCAGAGATTTCAGAATCTGCGTTAAACATCTCATGATGGTTTATGTTTTGAAATACTGTTATATCTGGAGAGACCAATTTGACTACTGAAGGTTTCTTCGTTGTAGAAGAAACAGGAGGCAGATCATCATCATCATCATCTGTGTTATCCTCTGATGTATTATCCAGTGTATGTAACTCCTCATCTGTCTGTGATGGTCCAGGAGAAAACAGGACTCTCGGTAAACCCTGCACAGAAAATAAAGTACACTGTACATGTATGTTATTTAACAACTTCCATTTATCTTCCCAGTCTTTATACACAAAATTCTCAAAATAAAACGTTTACCTGTAAAGTGTTCAATATGTAAATGGATGATTTGCCTTTTCATTTCTAACTATGATTAATGCATGATGACTTTGTTTTTTTATCACAGTTTAACTAACATAAAATCTTTCATAGAGCACAAAAATTGAAATTTGCAGATGACCTGAAAGTGATTAAATGAGCAGGATTATAAACATACTTCCCTTTGATAAATAATTGATCGTTTGAGAAATGGTGATAATTGATCGTTTGAGAAATGGTGATAATTGATCGTTTGAGAAATGGTGATAATTGATCTTGAATTCTAAAGTGAATCCCATTATCACTTCCACTCATAGAAGATTCTCATCTTTCATTTACACAACATTTTACACTTTTGGCCCAAAGAAATTATATCCTGAATTTCAGTCAAAATATGATGTCACACTAGAATGGGTGGTGTACCATAGAATAAAGTCCTTATGGTTGCCGAGTTAAACACTGAAAGATATCATTATCCATGGACATGAAAATGAAGACAACTTAGGAACTGACCTTTTGCTGTTTAACCATAGGGGATGGAGAACCTGTGGAAAACAAGATCAATATTGTCATTATCTTATCTAATACACTCTGTTTTACATACATTGATAGACATTTTGTTTACTCTAAGTCTACTGAAATAAACTAGTAAATAATTGTGATATATATATCTTATGCCCTTGATTTGACTTTGACTAAAACAGAACTGTACAAAACTTTTTACTAAATCTACTTCAGTCTACAGAATTTGAATTGGCTGAAATTTTACTAAATATTTTTCTTTGGTCACAATTAAAGTCATAAACATCAATGTTTAAACCAAAAATAATGTAAACGCAAAACAAACATCCTAAAACAATAATTAAGTATCGTAATGGACATATTTTTTATATGTACAAATCACAGATTCAATATGTATTGCATCACCAGACTTCCTACACCTGTATCAATTATCTTTGTGTTACAAACCTTTGAATGTAGAATCCATCAAAGTGGGCGTTGCCATTGAACTTGTCCAGGACAACATGGAGTCGTTCATATCGATGCCAAGACTCTTTCTGATATCCATCTGTTTGCAAAGTGGGGCAGAACCAGGTACCACATCCGGACTGGACATATAATTAGATGTTTCAGAAAATCAAGCAGTACGAAATTTAACCCATATCAGAATAGCTGATCAGGAAATTGAACAGATTCAATTTGATAACATGTAGCTTTAATTTCAAAATCTTTAATGGACATTGTAAACAAACTTATATATTTGAGCTCATATTTTGTATCCTTTGTTCCTTTGAAGAAAAAGTGCACCAGTATCTGCTATATGTCAGAAAATCAGAGCACATGTTATCAGTAATTGTTAAAGAAATGGAGTCTACTGTGACAATGACTAGGACAGCTGATACCACACTATTTACCTACACAATCATTATGTCCGTCAGGTTGTGTAATCACAAAACCAAGCAAGGATATGTTGTACAACTAAATAATTTATTATATCTGATGACTGCCAGCTCGTAGATGTCAATAAATAATCATTAAGTATCTACAATATAATGATTTATAAATGTCTTGATATAGATTAAGTTAACAAATCATCAATATCAAACTACACCACCAACTAGAAATGTCCTCCCCACACACATCCCCACAGTACCCCCACTTCCTTCCCTTTCCCTACAGAAGCCAGCTATTTTGTCTTGTAGTGTTTGATTATTTTAATGAATTATTACCTGAATCATTATATCCCTTAAAGCCAACATTTTGGACCTACCTTACTCCCAAAACAGGTACTTGCCATCCTGCTGTTTGACTTGGAGTTGAAGTCTGAGATGTCAGTAATCTTTGGATTTTGGAATAAAACTTATTCTCTGAGGATTCTGAACCTGGAAAAAATTAGGTCACAATGTAGTTGAAATGAAATAGAGTAGAAAAAATTATTATCAGTGCTACTGATAAAACACTATATATAACTGGTTTCATATGAGTAGTAAATTAATATAGATGACCAGAAAATAACTAAAGAATTACAGTCAAAATACACTAAACTCCCCCCCCCTACCACCACCACCACCTGAAACTTTACAAGAAAAAGATGATGTCATCATAATGACCTTCTGATACTGCAAACTTGCATAAAAAAACTGTCAAGAATCAAACAAGAGCTGCTACAATTAAGACAAAATTTGGGTAAGACTGAAATTTCAGTACTGGATAATAGTGACCTGAACAGTGTACTGACAGCAGATACCACAAAATAACATATTCTTCCATAATTCCTATGGTACATCTCACAAAATTAAATGCATGACATTCAATAGAATAAAAATTGCAAAATTTCACAACTCTCAACTCTGGAATTATGAGAGTCAAATCAAAATCTTATGAGTCAAAATATAAAATTTTCAGGTTCAAAATTTTAATATGGTAAAAATTTGATTCACAATTTCGTTGTATATGCATTGAGATATTCACAATTATATATGACATTATTAAAGGGACTAGATTGTTGGATTTTCATTTCAAAACTGATAAAAAACATTATAATATTTAAATATATGTTAAAAATTGTGTACTTCCAGTTAGCTATGATGTTTTAAAGTTTGTATAACCATTTTAATAACGCCAAAAATTTTTAATAAAATAGGAGCGACTTAACATTAATTCATATTATTATCGTTTGCAGAGTGTCGACTAGTGGTGTTTTAAAGCTGATAATCTTTATCCATTTCTCACAGAGAGTGTTATAACTTTGTGAAGAGGAGACCACATACAAAGTTAGTACCACTGTATTGTGCCACTGCATGCTGGCAATATCATAGTTGAATGACCCATTCCTAAATCCCAATCAATTGATGCTGGAGTTTGCATTCTATCATTCAGCATTAACAAACATTTTAACACCTACTCGGTAAATCTGTTATGGGTAAACAAATGTGAACGTTGTACTCATAGGCATCATATGTTGCATGTAAAAATTATGAATCAAATAATTACAAACTTTGAAATGTTGGACATATTTCATATAATCAAGTTATTTCCCCTTATCCATCCTTTTGCAAATACTTAAGTTTCTAAACAAGCAGAAAGTAGGTCCAAAAAGTGCAGTAATATGCACAGGTTAGAATACTTGCTGATAAAACACATCATTGTGGAGGACTAACATTTTTCCATTGCTTATGTGATCACATATAGATGTATTACAGCATTAGATAATTAAGAAGCATATTTCATTCTATTACTTGAGAAAATGTGTGTTGTTGGGATTTTTTTGTTGTTGTTAAAAAATTGTCCGTTGAGGTTAGTTACACCATATCAGAACTTAAGTGGCTCATATAAAAAAGAATTCCAATCAATAACACAAACAATTGAAATAATAGGACATCAGTTTTCAGGACATCTTCAGTTTTAAATAAATTTTAAAATGAAGTGAATAAATTTATATATAGAGTTTATCTAAATTTTCACTTCATTCTGTAGAGAAAGCTGAGGGTATAATGATCTAAGTCTTTATTTTACTGGCATTCATTTGTTTTTCCTATTTTTCTACATAAATTATTTAGAATTCCTAAACAACAATATAGTTCTATATTTCATGAATTCTTAAGGTCATCAGGACACCATGTAAAGTATGTGTAAACAGAACCAAAATGACTGATTTGTATCGACATCTTAGATATTCTCTAACCAGCAGACACATAAAAGGGATATGTTTAAACTTATTACAACTCTTCATCAGACTGGAGACACTTTTGAAGCAAAGAATGACAAATTCTGAGAGGATAATGCCTCAGTATCAGCTTACTTGAGCTTGTAGATGAGCCAAGTTGATAAGAATGGATTTTATCCTTCGGTGTAAACAATGAACCATCAACTTCTTCCTTCTTTTGTTTCTTCTGCTGAATTTTCTTTGCAGTAGCATTTTCAGAGTAATGAGCTGATATAATTGACAGCAATGAATCCAACAATCCATTGCCAGAATTTTTATTCCCAGGTCCAAGCTCTTTAAGTATATTGATGTTCAAACGTTTTACATGGGTTACTAGACCAGAGTAATGAGCTGATATAATTGACAGCAATGAATCCAACAATCCATTGCCAGAATTTAAAAGAACATTAATTGATTGAGTTCAGAATTCTACAGCATGAATATCAATTGAGTTCAGAATTCTACAGCATGAATATCAATTGAGTTCAGAATTCTACAGCATGAATATCAATTGAGTTCAGAATTCTACAGCATGAATATTTATCATTTTAGTTCAGAATTCTTCGGGATAAGTTATTCTTGTCTTCCTGTAGTGTTCAGCATCATTACTATGATCAGAAAAGGTTATATATTTAAGTCATTCCTGATCTCTCTTAGTCATTTTTGCAATATTGGTGTTGAGTAATTGGTTGCATTTCTTTAATTCATCAAGATTAGTTAAATATTATTTGCATATTACTAATGCTGCACATAAATGATCTTTTTCTTTATCTAATTACTGGACACAAACCTTTAACTACACTGGATAAGATGACATTCAATTTCTTTTTCTTAGCTTTGTCTTTCTTCAAACAGAATCTGAATGATTCATGTGTCTCTGGACAAGCCTTCACATCTACATTGGTTCTGTCACTCATCACAGTCAATGATCAGAGGTGACACCTGCAAATATAAATGATAAAGAAAATAATGACTAATGATTCTAAAGTAACTATCTTGAGTAAACTTGTATCATGTATCAACAAATTTGTTATTTATCTAACAGCTGCTTCTTAAAGATTTGCAAACATTTTGTTAGAGGCTGCAGTCATTGCTCTGTCCATTATCAGTGCAAACATATAATGGTAATGTTCATCTGTAACAGATGGCATCATCTGTTTAACACAACCAATAGCCAATGTGACCATGTATATAACGGCACAGGAAATATTCATTTCTGTTGTCTAAATTTGTGATAAAATGACAATTTATCAGACTTTGTTCTCCGTTGATTAGTGTATAGTCAGTTGAGTATTTACATATGTTCTATTTTTAGTCAACCATAATCTGCTGACAAAGAACAGATGTGATAAAGTTTGTTACTTTTACAAAAATACAAGACAATTTAATCAACAACTTTTTGTGCAAAAATATAGTGATGCATTAGTTACTGGGCTATGTCAAAAATATGATGCCATTTTTAGTTGCAAGTGTTTCTATTTCAGAATGAACCTGCACTTGAGTAACTGAATGATTATTCTAAGTAGTAACTATCCCTCAAATGCAGGACTATTACGCATATGCTGTGTTTTACCTAACCTGCTCACACCCTGCACACAACAGAGCTAATTGGACATCACTGTTGATAGAGCTCTATGGGGGCAAGTTGTTTCGGTACCAGGTTGTTTCGGTACTTCCAAAATAAGTCCTTTCGGCACTTTTTAAAATGTTTTGATTTATATATTGAATTAGGGTTTTAAAGTGTTTTGTCATTTATAAATATTGCTCATCCGTTACTGAAAAACTATTCACTCGAAATGACACTCTAGCTGTGTAAACCATTATGCAAGTACCGACACTGAGTGCCGAAACAACTTGATACCGAAATGACTAAAATTCAGCTCTATAACTCCGAATGTTTGGATCTGTATTAAATTTGTCCTTACTCTATGTTTCATTTCGTGAAAGCTTAGACTAATATAGCATTTACAACATGGTTCATTAAAACATGTTTACTACACAGTTATCAAGAAGCTGACACTTTCGTACTGATCGTGACTTTATAAACAGTCTAAGACTAAATATTAAGTTTAAATGCATATTGTTAAGATGTGGCTGGTTATAACATCATTGATCAATGTTAATCGTGTAATTACTTGTTGGATCACCGCCAGCATTAAGGAGCATAATCATTTTCGCAGTCGTCACCGATGGTGTCTAGTTTGTTGATAAATAGTCAAAAATGGCGCCTTCGATTACACGAAATTTAAGATTCATACGAAACGCACCACTTGGTTGAAAGTGGATCGAACCTCAGCATCGTCAGAAATTTAAGACATATATATGCTCATTATTTTTTAATGTTTATTTCAATCTTCTTTTTTGAGTTAGAACCGTAGTTGTGTTGATATAATATCTTTTAGTGCAAACATATTTTACTTTCTTGAGTCGGCGGGGTCCAAATGTTTTTTTTGTTATTTTTTTGTTTTTGTTTTGTTTTTCTTTGTTTGTTTTCATCGAAAAGTAGCACTAAATAATCACCTCCAAGAGCGTGTTGATAATCTTTTTAAAAAATAAATGAATTATCATTATAAATCATATGCCGAATCATACGTTTTCTTTTTAAATGAATGTTGAGAGCAAAGCAGTACTGAATCAACAACATCAACAGGTTGTTGATCAGGAAATAATTAAAGAACTAATTTGAATTGTTATCGGCATGCCCTTATGATGTTTTTCATATTCATTTGACCAGCAAAAAGTATTCTTTTAATCAGACTTCTTTAAGATTTCAGAAATTAGTACGTTTACATTTTTGTTATTATTATTACTTTTTTATGCAATGATGAATCGCCAAATTAAAGACGTTATCCACTATTATACAGAGCAAGTTTCCATATCATTCATATTCACGAGAAAACAAATTGATCAGATATAGTTGATTATAATTTTTTTCAACAAGTGTTAAAGTTCTGTATCATATTATTATAAAGTTGAATCACTGGTATGGAATGTAAGCTTTGTGCCAAACCGTATGTGTTACCTACTGGATTTTAACAAAACAAATATTTATTTATTTATTTATTTATTTATTTATTTATTTATTTATTTATTTATTTATTTGCTCGTTTGTTTTGGTTTTTGTTTGTCTGATTGCTTTGCTTTGAATACGGATGTTTTCACAAAGTGGAAAAACCTAAAGTAATATGGAATATGTTTGAATACGGATGTTTTCACAAAAGGGGAAAAAACCTAAAGTAATATGGAATATGTTTGAATACGGATGTTTTCACAAAAGGGGAAAAAACCAAAGTACTATGGAATGAAACCACCAGCCTGTATTTCTATTTATCAGAAAATAATCTGATTTTCTAATACGTCTATATCACTTGTTTGGCACTGTAATGATTTTACCTATACATCGATTATCAGGACCGTATCACCCAAATTAGCCACGTAAAGTAACATCACATGATAATCTACTGTTTATAACGATCAATATTATATATAAAAAAAAACACTGCGTGATAATCCGAAGTTTTTCTAGCCTAGTTAGTTTACATGCCGATAAAACGAAAACGTTTTCTATTTAATCATGAAACAGGGGCCTTTAATTTCAATTAGTATATACATGAAAAGTGAACTTTGAAGAAGCATTTGATCTGAAAATAACAAAAAAAAAAAAAACCGGATTAATTACACTACGATGATCTATTGTGTTCAGTTTGCCAGCAGCTCACAGTAAACATAACGGTGCGTATTTCCTGGTTGTTTTCGATATACGTAACAATACTATGGAGGATAAAAGGAGATTTAAATATTCTATTAAATTATACGATTTTAAATGACACGAATCAGTAGTGATAAAAGTATTGCCTGTCCTGTTAGAACGTGTCGATAGTGGTCAGATACTCAATGACAGGCGGATATACGCAGTTTAAAACACTGACCACTGGGTCAGAAGTCTATGTACACAGAAAGAGCCGGGTGTAGTTTTCACCTGTGTGTGCCGAGCTGTCTAGAAATCAAAGGTAACTACACATGGTTTGAGATTTCTGCACCCGTTTTTATTGTCTTTCCTTCCTCTCCTCGTCACACCTATTCCTAAACGTAACATAACCCCAAATTAACTCCATTTTCGCGTGTGCGTGGATGAACTTATCCCGCCGCGAAATGCACACAATAATTTTCATACGTACACAATTTACACATGGTATTTTATAAAATATTTATCCATATATCTTTGGTCAATATTAAATCTGGTAAACTTAAACGTGTATGTAGGTACAGCCAAGGGTTTGGCGGGACACTATTGACTCGTCGGAACTCGTATAACCTACACACATGGTGCACTAAGACCAGCCTGTTGGTGTGTATTGGGTATTATTAACATATGTCTATTCCTATAAGATTTCAAACCATGACTGAATTCCACATGTGTACTCACATTCTTGGCAAATTTGGCCCAGTGGTGTTTGACACGATTGTTAATTAAAAATCGATCATAGATAAATAAACATTCCATTTCATAATTGATTTTTAAATTTAATGGGCGTGCTAAACACCCTTGCTGTGACAAGTATGACACCAATAAAGGCCATAGGGTATATACTTAAACATCCACTAGATATAGATCTACCGACATTCATTTATCCAACAAAGTTCCTTGCGAAACAGGAGCCCTTCTGATACCAGGCTGTACTGTGTATTGTGCTACAGATGGCTACCGTTATACGACTAGGATTTTCAAAAGACCCCATTTGCCAAATTCATTTAGTATTGTTTCCAACAATTATGCTACAAACGTGTTATCGACCTAACATGGGTCTTCATTTCAGAACCATATGGTCACCAAACACCACTTCCTGTTGCAATACTTTAAGTTTTGGCGGTAACAACTTGAATTTTCACCGAGACTGCTATGACGACCATCATGGACACCGCAAATTGCCTAAAATCTGAAATTTTGAGATCAATATACTCAACTAAAAAAAACCCTATCACAATATCACTTTCTGTTCAGGGAAAGTAGAAATAGTAGATCATTTCAAAACTGCGACAATGGCAGCAATCTTTTATGTCGCGATCAACAGGTAGAGATTTCTACTTTGGCCAACTTTGGACCATGCACTAGTCGCTGGTGTAGGCGCTGTCTGTAAATGATCATTAGGGATAAAGATGCCCCCATCTTGATGTTGCTAAGTGTCTCAATATTGACTTAAGACCATCCAATATACCCCCGCGCCTTGCTTGCTGGCCAGTGGAGCCTCTCTTGCCTCATCCATTCCGGAGGAAAAGCAATATAACATTACCATACACATATTAGTACCGGACAGACGGACGCCCGACAAATACAGCTAACAAAAGGCAGATAGAAATCGAAAGTCCAAAATATTTCAAACTCTGTTGCTATTTTCGAAAGGATGGAGAAAGAAGTCGATTATTGGAAGTCAAATTATCGATTTCAGAATTCTTTTGAAGCATTTAATAGAATATTTTTGTAACCATCACCCGATGTGACCTTCAGTATTTTACACATTCAACGTAATCAGAGCTATCAGAGAACAGTTTTCTTCATCAGTCTAGTCAGAGTATCGGACCTTACATGGGTCATTTCTAAAAAGGCGGAAAATACCCTTATTACGTCTTCTGATCCTCTTTGCGTCATAGGTGAAATATATTAACAAAAGGAAATGTCGATAGAGAGAAAAGACATGTTTCAATGTATTTCTAACTTCTAGTCTAACCACACTAAGTTTCCTGCTCTGTGATATCCGCATTCGAGTCTGTTGCTTAGTATAACCATATTTAGGAATGGACACCACAGACGGTTGCGGTTCATGGTTCTCCTTGGCTCTTCCTGTCATCTGAGGAGTAAGAATGGCTCTACAGATCTAAAGTTATCTTGTTCAATATAAGACTTAAACAGACACATACAGACGTCTCTGCTTTAAACAAAAAAATCTTGAGACTTGTAACGGTTCTGGCGACGTCACTACAGATGCAGATGGATCCTGATGGAACCATGACTTGACAGATAGTTCCAACCAATGGCGATGTGGATATGCTATTTAAAAAACCTATGAAATAGATGATGATCCATGTATAGTGCCAAGTAGAAGGGAAGTAATGAAAAATCTTGTACCCCTGAGTGTCACAGTAATGTAGAACGTGGAATATATGTTATAGATGTCTTATTCTACATTCTACATTAGTTGGATTTCATTAAGTTAGCTTTGTAAATTTATTTATTTGAATCTGTTCAAGAGTCTGAAGGGTTTTTACTTTCTCTTGTCATTTTGATCTTGTGTTGTTGCCCAAGAAAAAAATTTCGTGGATAGATAGAATCCTTCAGACTGCTTGTTTTCTCTCACTTCTATCCTCCATGCTACATGTGACACCATTCCTTGTTTCTCCTCAAAATATTAATTTCAGAGTTTAAGTGTACACTAAACTGGCAACAACACAAGGACCTGAGAACTTGTTACAGATGTATTTGGATGTGTCCTGACATGTTTATGACATCTTTAGATGTTTTGAGAGCTTAGTATTCTGTGTACCTGGTATTTACTCAGTGTTGACATAACCCACAAAACAACATGTTACAAACACAGAAAGGTTTCCCTGGGCCTCGTATTAAATTCTCAGGTCCCTGTGGGTAAATTACATTGATCACCCTCACATGAATACTGGCATTATTATTCACTGACAAAAATCATTTTTCTTTGTGTGTGTACTTGTACACAAGTGTATTTCTAAAAGCTGAAATGGTAGATCCAACGTGTATATTGTGAAGTCTGCTTGTTTGTTTGAGTGTTATAGATGCAAAAAAATTTTAAAAAAGGAAATGAAAGACCATATCAAACCATGAAATAAATGACTGAAAGAATCGGTTGACTGCAATGCTGTGGTTGACTTACTTTTTATCCCTGTCTAGCACTTTTAACAAATATTGCTAGACAAATAACCCAATTTGTCCAAGATTATTACTGGAATATCAGAATGTAATATTCAGACAAATTTAATTGACTTAACAGTCAATGAATGATTTAACCTCTCTTTTAACTACAAAATAAACAGATCAAATACAGATATAAATTGTCACTTTAATTATGTTTTAATACTTGGCAACGTCAAATGAAATAAAGACAGTTGTTTTTATAACTGTTCTTAAATTGTACTAGGCCTGTTACTTAATTCATTATTGCCAAATATATCTACATGCACATGCTTTGTAACATAGTTGTCATTTCCCTTGAAAATTACCAATAAAAACATGTCCTACTTGAGTTAATAGAAAAATGTAGCCCTTATGTAAGTCAGGTAGACAATTGAATTAAATTGCCTGATGTGTTATAGTGTTATCAAGTAAATCTGTTATTACCACCAGCTGACATGATTATACCTGTAAACACACCTGTACGACTACCATAATTGATTTTGTTTTTGTCATTAGAGATCACATAGTCAGCCACAGGACCTGAATTATTCAGTAGCAATGTCGCTTCTCTCAATGTACCACTTCAGTATCGCTTGACAAGTTAGTTGAGAAAATGCTGGTTTTATCTGAATGCTGATTGGATTAATGGAATAATCTTTTTGCATATGTGTTGGTAAACAACAAGTTTAGTGAAAGGTATTGTCATAATGTAAGAGTTCCCATTAATATTTTCTCCTTTTTATGAAAAGTGAAAACTGGATCAAATGTATGTACACCTCAGACTACAAATATGGTTGGCTTTGTGCCACCGTATTGTGGCTTGATACCGACTGATTGGTTTATTGTGGCATTGTATACTGAAGTATTTTTGTAAGGCGTGAGTTTATTTTTGTATAGTGTTATATTGTGTATATTAGTTAAAGGCCAATAATAAGCTTGACAAATAATTGTGTTCTCTGTCATCGTAGATAATTCAGATACCTTTATTCATTTACATGTCACAATAAAATTTAAAGATCTTTTATTTAAATATGTGCATAGTCAGGTTTATTCAAGAACTGGTGCTGTATAGTTTGATTAAATTCTTGCTAGACATTGATATATAACCAAAGTAATTGCAAGATGTTTGGTGATATCAACTGTGGTCTGATTCCTGCCTTGTATATAATGTCCATTCAACATAAACTTTAATGGTTATCATAAGGACAGATAAGTATTTTAATTGTTTTTCATCAACAGAATTGTGCTATGGATGAACAAGTTTGCATTGTCTGGTAAAGCGCACCAACAGAGACCAGAAAATGTACAGTGTTAGTAATCAGCGGCCCACGAATCGACCAGGCCTTCATACCCCTCACCAAAACGCACCTGGGGTCTCCACATTGACATCAACAGTGCTTAAAGGACAGTCTACGAGTGCCAGCAAGGTACGCCCACTAAGTCTGGTGAGAGAGTCCCTTCGGAGTAACATCAGTGCTATCAGAGATTCAATCAGGAGCACTGCAAGTTCACAAGGACTTAAAACTCCAATTGACATCGCAGCCCTTCCAGGAGGAAAGACCTCAAGTCTCAAGGATCCAAACGAGGATGTTGTTAGGACTGAGGACTTTGATCAGGAAGATGCAGTGACATCTACATCTAGTTCAACCATTAAAGATCTATTTCAAGATGTAAGTGAAGTTTCTAATTACATGTACTGATAACTGCATGAACCTCATTAATTTCCATACATTACAAAAGTGTGTTAATGTAAAATGCAGTGATTGTTGTAGGTTCTAGTGAATTTAATTTAAATGTCAGAACTAGTAAATTTATGACATTCTAGAATTTGGACTGCATTGTTACATTACAAGTGGAAATATTTAGGTCAAAAGTCAGTGTTTTGGATTTGAAGTCATGAATGATATTTTTAAAAGCACTCAGACTAAACAATATGGCTGCCAGGCATCCATCTTGCATTTTGACAGTTACAGTTTGTAATTGCTAATTCTTTAGAAGAACCAGATATTTAAAATGTCATATGAAGGTAAGCCTTGGTCTCCAGTTGTACATTTTCTTTTTTTGGACTGAGCATCTTGGATTTTGACAATGAATGTTTGCTAATGCGTTTTTTTGAGAAGATCTCACTGGAATTTACACTTACACAATATGTAGGTTCCCGATGGTCCCTAGTTGTGTTTTGTTGATTTTGGGACTGATAGATACACCAAACAGCTGGTAAGTGACCATCTTGAATTTGGGTAGCAATAATTTGTTATCACTATATTTGGAGAAGTACTGATTGATCATCCTTGAAATTTCTTATCTCAGGAATCCAACTTTCCCTAGTTCAGCATTGTCTTTTCTGGGACTGATTAAAAAAACAAAATGGCTGAAAGTCAGCCATCTTTGGCTTTGACAAAAATAGTTTATCACTTCCTGTTAAGTGCTGGAACGATCTTTGTCAACATATTAAGGTTTCTCTTTATGCCTTATATTTTGCTGAGTGTTCAGACCAAATAATAAGATAGAAGAAGAAAGATCAAACTGATGAAGACCTACCCTAATAAACATTTGTATGATTAGTGGGGCCCAAGATCCCTCTGGGATCTCTTGTTTTGTGATGAAAATAGTGGGCACCAAGATGCCTCTGGGATCTCTTGTTTTGTGATGACAATAGTGGACACCATGATCGCTCTGGGATCTCTTGTTTTGTGATGATGATAGTAGACACCAAGATCCCTCTGGGATCTCTTATTTTGTGATGACAATAGTGGGCACCAAGATGCCCCTGGGATCTCTTGTTTTGTGATGATGATAGTAGACACCAAGGTGCCCCTAGGGTCTCTTGTTTTGTGATAATAATAGTGGGCACCAAAATCACTCATATATCTCTCATTTATATGATGATCTACTTAAGTTATGGTTGTAATGTTTTATTGATGACTTGTTTTCAATTTTTTTTTTATCTCTTGAATTTTGTCAGGTTATCAGATTTATTAAAGGTTGGCTAAAGCTTTTTGTTAGAAATTGATATAATGGGTATTTCTATAACTAAGAACGAAAGTTGAGAATGTAAATCCTTTTGTGACTGCTTGACAACATTCAAAGAGGTGTCACACCCTCTATATACCCCTCTATAACTGGAATTTAAAGGAAAGGCCTGAGGAAGTACTCCAGATTTAGTCACACCAACATTCTGGTCAAGTCACTTCAAGTTGTTGACCTTAGCAAGTAAGCTCTCGGTCAATATCTATCTGACCATTCCTTTAAGTTCCAAGTCAATATTTAGACAAACTGCTTTCTCAGAAACAGATTTGGCACTGATAGTTAAAGGGTATATAACACTTTAGAGGAGTTTACAAGTTCAGTGTACTAAAAGTGTTTTTTATTGGCGCCTCAGTTACAGACAACAAAGTGTACTGAGTGAAACATTGACGATTGGCTTTGACTTACCGAGATTTGAAGTGTTAAGACTACTAAGACTGTTTGATAGGAAGCTTACTTTGTGTGTATAACATACATTACCATAATTTCATAATGTATTTTCTTATCATGATTAATAGAAACCTGGACAGGAAGGTTTATTTACCTAAGAAGGATCAGATTGCAAATTAAATGTCCATACCTAACTGTATTGTCCAGCAAAAGAGACTTGGGTCAAAACCATGTTTTTCACCTAGATTAGCTAAGTCACTTAATTAATGCAAGTCCTGCTGATTAAAACCAAATCTTTTAAACTTTAACATCAACTAAATACAAAACTGATTGTCATAGTTACCTTAAGTTTGCCAATATTTCAAAATTCTCACTTACTCAAAAAGATTTTCAAAATTGAAAGGTGCTACTAATGATATGCTATCATTCAATGGCCTGTTCTCCAAAATCTCCAGGAATGTTTACATAAATAAGCAAATGGTTTAAGAGTGTATAAATTACAATAAAATACAAAAAATATGTTATTATACTGTTGCACATACTGCATTAAGAAATACAATAAAATAACACATATTTGCGTGATGTCCAGCCATATTTTGGAGACTGCACATACAAATTTGTGTAGGCTGAGAGCCATATCTGCAATGTTCTAACAGTAGATTTATATTTCAATAAGGGGAGATAACTGAAAGACAGATAGTGTGTAATTAGATAATAGGTGGCCTTAAGTCTGGTAATGTGTATTTCTCCTCTTTACGGACTGAATTAAATACAATGGAGGGTGTGACTTAGTATTTTCTAGTTCTGATTAAGTATTGATTTCATTGTAGGAGATTTTTAATTCGTTCTTGGATTGCTTATAATATCACAGGTAAGATATCATGATTTGAGTCGCAGTGGCTACTGTGTACAATAGATATTAGATCAGTCTTTAATTTTATTTGTTTGTTTTTTTAATTTTCTATTTATTGCTAAATTCTTGTATTCTTAAATGGCTAAACAACATATTTCAAAACCATTCCAGTTAGATCAGTTTAAGCAAATTACGTACCAATAAGCAAACCGTATCTTCCTTAGTATTTGTCCAATATCTATGTACATAGCATGCTTGTTAAATATTAGTTTTGTTCTCAGACACTGAGTAGAAAGCTAAGTTCTATTTTCAGTCCTTTAATTATAAATTTAATCATAAGAGAATATTTTATTGTTCAACCAGGTTTTGCACAGGGCTTGGTAACCTAATAACTCAGGTTAATATCTGTAGACTTACTAATGGCAAGAATTTGTTTTTATGCATTCTTTCAAATAAGGAACTGTTGAAGTATTAAGAAGAATTCTGAATAATCAAAACTCAGAAAATACATTTCAAAAATCTAGTGCCAACACAGATATTTTGTATCTCTTTATACTCACTTTTTTTAAGCTGTTGGTGAATTGCAGTTACAAGTTTCAAAAAATGGATGTTGCTCTCGATTTTTTGTTCTTTCGTATGATTTAACAAGCATTTTCCTTCAGAAATACAAACACTTTATACTGGTAGTATAAAGTGTGAATACGGCACACAATGCTAACGGAAATACAAGAATTGATTTTTGTAAATTGTTGATGTTATACAGTTGTATAGAATTGTGAAGTGGTTTATTTTCTGTGTAAAGCTTTGTGAAGAAAAACAGGCAAGTTTATGTTTGGAAATAACGTAGAAACTCCCTGGTGAAACGCAAATTAATGTCAATCTCAGGTATTCTGCGAAAACAAACAATACTATAAATCATGGGTAAGGAACAGTACTGATAAATCTGACAAATTTACGAATTCCTCGCTGTTAAGAAATAGTGACAAGAAAATGAAAGAAATACACAATTGTTAAGCTGTCATACATGTGGCCACATGCTCACTGTCATCATATCAGGAATATTAATTGGCAGACTATTGGAGCCCTGTTCAGTACATATTTAATGTTTTTATTTACTCGGGAGTAATTTCAATTTCATTAGGTGATGGTTATCAAAAAAAAAAAAAAAAATCCTTCATAATGATGAACACTTGAGGAAACAGGATATTAGTTTATTTATTGAGGTGTGAATTGATGAAGTAAATTATGTCCTATAAAAATGTGATTATCTATAGATGGTCAAAATGATCAAAACAATTTAATTCATGAATAAAAGATAAACGATTGAGAGTGTGAATAGAATCGTGGATAAACAAGTACGCTTCATTTAATTTGATTTGCCAATTCAATTAATCATGTCTGAATGAAGGAATGCTAGCTGCTAGTCTGCAGCTTTAGAAAGGGTGACAAAACCATTTGATTGTAAAATGATAATACTTGTGTACATATGATGAAAATTTAATCAGTTATACATTACCCTTGGTATTCACAGAAGTAGGTTAGATTATAGGGACAAATATATATTGGATGGGTGTTGGTTCAACTACCAAATGTGTGTGCGTGTTGGCTGTAGACAAAATAGAAATCAATTCGTTTGTTTAGAAATTGATAAGTAAACTGTCGGTTTTCATTTCTCTGTACACATTGACATAATGCAAGCACGCTTGTGTACAATTCCATGTGCATGATAACATAGTAATAGTCACCGCCAGTGGCTTCCGTGGAATTATTCCCTGATAAGACTGAAATGTTATGATGGAGGCATTTTAAATGTGACCCAGGCAACTCTTGTTGATGTCTTTACTGATAATTAATTCTATGGAAGGAAATTGAATGAGAAATGCAAATGAGGTGTATCTGTGTGCACAAAATACTGGAAAGGTCATGTGTTGAAGTGTGAGGGGTCAGCTTTGTTCTATATAGCACTACAGCACTTCTGACTGGCATCTACCCAATTTAAATAGGCTTATGTGCCATAAACGTTTTACAGCTCATAAGTACTAGCCTACACTTGGAATTTGGTAAAGATTTATTTTTACAAGAAGTCACCTTTCAGTTCTCAATCTAGATTGTACTGTAAAAAATAATTCAGATTTATTGCTGATTTATGGATGTGAAACACACAATTTCGGATTTATGGAAGTGAAAGTAAACGGTGGGAGTTACACACTGTGGAAAGATTGTGCTTATTGTTTTTTACGTGGATTTTTGAACAATGATTCTTCGGGTACATGTGAACATTCCAAGGTAAGGCAATCTGATTATCGTAAATATGTATGTTGGAATTTATGTTAGAAATCAATTTTATGAATTAAGAAATCAATTTTATGAATTAAGATCGAAGTGCATCCTAACAATAGA